GAAATGATGCATCACCTGCTGTCAGCTAGGGTCCTTTTTAAGGAAGGGCATAGCATCACGAGGAGATTTGAGAAGAACTCATTGAGACTGGAAAGTGAGTGCGAAACCATTCAGACTGGCGGCCTGGGCGATGTCCGAGCCAGAACATTTCAGCGGACCGAGGGTCAGGAATGGGTGACCTGGATGGCATGGGATGTCGTGTCCAAATTGCAGGGCTTCTCAGGAATGCAAAGCGGGCTAAACAAAATAACCATCTCTGAGTTTTTGAGTTTGAGTTTCAAGTAGCAAGGATGCATTCTTAGGTGGAGACCATTGCAAGTGGGTTGGAGGCCATCGCTACCGGTAACAAGAAGCTGCTAGTAGCAAGGAAGTGTTATTACTAGTAATGGCCTCCAACCTAATAGCTTCTTGTTACTAAGAAGCTTCAAAGACATACTAAAAAGCTTTCTTGTTAATGGTAGTAAAGGCCTCCAACCTGCTTCTCGGGAATGCAAAGATATGTGTTACGGATGGCAAACCCTCCGGGTTTTCGTGGATGATTCGTTTGGGAGGTCGAACTATAGGGAGTCGTTGTCCAGCTAAACGTCTGATTGGGAATTCGGAATGAATTCAATGTCGGGATCATCAGGATATGACCTATCTTACTAGCTCTAGTACTAGCTCTCTTCACTATCTGAGTCATCAGGATTGGGCCATCCTCCGCCTCACGCGCTGTCAGAGTTCTTCTCATTTGCCGCCCGTGTTTGAGTTCGCACAGGCGGCGAATCGAGCGGCATTCAGGAGTTCTCCTTGGAGGAGAAGCTCAGTGAGTTCTCTGCGTGATGGGTCCTTCCTGCTTGGGTCATCCATTTTGGTTCACAGGAATTCAGGAATTCTCATGTCACATGTCGGCATGGTTCGAATCACCTGCCAGTTGATGAGGTAGTTACTTGGATTTTGGAGATCGAGCATCACAAATCCTAAGAATTGATGTACGTTGAGGTCCATTTAGAGTGCCAGAACTGGCTTTGCATTTTCTTCGGAGCTACATTCTACACGTATTTGAGGCTCACAAGCTTGATCTCTTGCCAGTTTTGGGGACAGTAAATCAGAAAGGGAGAAAGAGAAACGAACCAGTTGCGACATTCTCAACCTCTGCCGAGTCGCGAATTCACACATATTCCCCTTCACCTTGCTTTGCAGGAGATCCTCTTTGGCGCAAATGAGAAGGGTGTGTGGGGGGTCTTAGCACCTAGCAAGACAATCACTTCATTCACGCCTTCTACGTGAAGATCTCAACAAGCAATGCCTTCGTCACAGTTGTGAGAATCCTCGACCAACTGTGACAGTTTTTGTGGGGCACCATGACAATGCATGACTGAAAAAGCCTTGACGTTCTGACCCTTGCTACGTTCAGAACAAAGGGCATTCCTAGAAGCCCGACGCTTCACGTTCTGACCCACACGTTTTTTCGTTGACCCTTCACATAACCTGTGTGTTCTTCTGGATGTCACTTCCAGCCGGCCGTTCTACGCGCTCTTGGAAAGCGGCAAGTTGGTCCTGGGCGGGCCCGGTTTGTAGTCGTCATATGAGTCACATCACGGTGGGCAACATTAGTTGATGGTCATGGAGTCATGCATGTAAAGTATTCACAAAGTGGTGGTATTCCCCTGAATATGGAACCCAGCTGCTATAGCTTTGTAGGCAGTTTTATGGAATTATGCCTACCAATTTGTGGTGCTGACCTTCCCAACAGCCACCTTGCGGAGCTCCTGGAACCATCAGTTGAACATGTTCGAACATATGTTGAATGCACTGCCTTTTAAGCGGCTGTGAAGGTTTCTATACAAAAGGTGTCGTAAGCAATTAGATAATTGATTCTTCTATGAGTGTTCAACTGTATCCGAAAGCTTGTCGAACATCCAATCCGCTCCTCATGGTTATTCTACCTGAGCATTTGTGTCAATGGCATGGGCCCATTTCTACCAAGGTTTTCCCGCTGCTTGAACTTCATGCAGAAGAAACACAGCGAAGGCCATTGTTCGCTGCTGGTACAAGCGGTTGAACTATTGGACTAAGATATGATAATGGTATATATAATATATTTCAATTGACAGCAGTTGGATAAATGTTTATGTCTTAATAAAAACTGTTACTGGCAAGAGACCTCGGAAATTCGGGTTGAGGGGGAAGCCAAAGTCTTTTATTTTGTTCCGCAAGGGCAACTACCCCGATCATCAAGGTAGCAACTCCCGAAAGAAAGAAACACAGAACCGATCTTTTTCGCCTCCCTTCATCATGAACAGCGAAGAGGATGCGATGCTCAAGCGGTTGCGAAGGGGCGACCCCGACTGAGTGCGGCGGTTTCTGGCACCGCGTTGTCGACTGCGATCTGCCGAGTTCCTTCAGTTCGAACTCGGACTGGATCCAGGAGGAAGGGCTTTCGGACCAACAAATAGCATGACGACGCCGCGTCCTCGGTCAAAGATCATCACAATCACTTAGATTAAAAGACCTTTAGAACCATCATCATCCACTGTTACTGGTCATGAGATGTAATGAGATATACGCAGGGCGGCATAGCCAAGGTTTACCGTGACCTTCCAAAGCTCTGACATAGTCTCGAAGATGCCGCGTGATCCGCAGAGCCTGCCAGGACTGTGTGCTGCGCAGACCGTCCAACGATTTTCACGTTATGCGGGGCACTCAGGAGGCAGCTGGCCAATCCGAACAACAGTCGGCACAAGGCAGACTGGCCACTGGGCAGCCATGGGTGAAGCACAAATGGCCTAGAACAAACCGTACTGTACTTGGATGATCATCCCACTAGAAACAGCGTGATCATCTTCTTGATGTATGGGTGTGTAAGTACAAGACCAACCAGATCCGCCCACCAAAAAGATGGGATGACCTGCTCGTCATAATCTATATGACCTGCTCAGAAAATTCGAGTCACTAAACCAACAGATACCCTGCTCACTAAACCTCCAGGAGTCCCTTCGCAGCTCGCTCTACCCGCGACCGCGACCGCTCCGTCGATCCCCCGCTCCAGCAGGTCGAGCTCTTCCGGCGGCGATGCCGAAGCGAATTGCCGACTCCCGCGGCACCCGGTCGTCTGAAGGGGCCGTCGGAAGATGTTCGGGAGTCGGAGGGTTTGGAGTCGTGGTGTTCTTTGGACTGGAAGCTCGTTCTTTACCCATGTGTTCGGTGGAAAGAACGTTACCAAAGCACAGCAAACCGAAGTCATGAAATCTCACTGAATATATATGGCTTTGTGCCATATGGAACGCACCTGATTTGGAAAACGGCGATTCCAATGAGTGAATTAAGGGGGTCTTTGGGAATGCCTATCCCAAATGCACGAAGCACCAGGGGGTTACCAACCAGAGAAATGCTGGCTACCAGGAGCAAAACCGCTAACCAGAAGCCGCAGCTCTGTTTTTCACCGCTTTGTGGGAAGAAAAGGAGGCCCTCAGAAGATGGTCCTAGGGTGTTCTACTATATGGTCTGGTCGAAAAGGGATTATTTGAGAAACTGATAAACTACTAATTGCTTTGGGTAAGCTACTGGGTCGATGGGAATGTGTTTTTTCAACCAGAGAAACGGTGTTACCTTGGTCTTCAACTTGCCCATTGTCTACGTTTGTAGATGGCGACGGAGTAGACTGGGAACTACTAAACCAGCTCTATAGAGCCAAGTGCTATCTCCGAACCAATTCTGCTCAACATACCCGCCCTCCTATATGTCTCCTTGCTGGTATCATCTCCAATTTGGCAAATGATATAGACCCCCTAAAGACTAACATGGAACCTGAAAACCACTGGTTGGTAGAGGAAGACACGCTTCCAGGGGACCATCGTCAGGGTCCATGTTAGTTTTCGGGAGGGTAGATATCTTGGTGTTGATTCATAGCCATTGACGTGGCCTCGCCTCCATGGCGGCACACAGAACTTATTTGTCACCGTTGCTTGATTGAGTGAACCCAGACGAGGAGTCGAGCATTCAGGTTCAGAAGGAAGATTTCCGGTATGCTGGAGAAAAGAACCAGCTTATAGGACTGTTGGTACTTGCAATCCATTGATTTCCAATTAGTATCCTTTGAAGAGTCCAACCAGGAGGATATTCTCCCATCCGAACAGTAGAGACCTTCGTGTGGTTGGAGTGCACACTCATATATGAACCATTTATGTTCACATATTTTCACCCCAAAAGCCCAAAAGCCCAATCCCTTCGAACTTTCAAGAACTGAACAACACCAAAACCTCTTCAGGCCTGGTTGAGGCGGCGCCTTGCAGCGCATCAGGCGGGGGGTTAGGTCAAGTGAAGCGGCTGAGCAGGTCTCAAATTTGGTCAAGTGACGGCCCCTCAAAAAGAAGACAGGTGCATCCCCTTCAACCAGATTCTCTGGAAAAAAGAAGCTCTTGTTGGTATCATTCGAAATTCATGTTTGGGGCAAAGAAAGCCTTAAGTGTTCGCTGTTCGCTGCCGACTGAGACTGTATACATTCTTTAGTTCGGATGGGTTTACTGCAATGCTGGGGAGAAAACCACCCGTTGTTGTCAGTTTGCTGTCCATTCGCAAGCGGACACTCAATTTGTCCATTGATTTGCTACTACCATGTACAGCCACCTAGACCACTCTGTGGCTGCGGTGAGTGATTCCAGCCTTGACTGGACAGGGACAGCATGTTACCCTAACTTGGCTGGATGGGAAACTCAAGTTTCGTGGACCTTGACCTGATCTAGGATGTCATCATGCTTCCAAGAGACCTGTCGCTTGGTAATTTAAAAGAGACCTGCATTCAACTTGACGGCTTGACGAGCTTCTCAAATGCTGTGTATGACGTATGAATTCGGACATATCACAGCAAGAGCCGAAAGAGCCGCAGCGTTTTGTTTGCAAGGGTATCACCACGACGGAGCCCTTGTTACTAGTAGCTTCTAGGGTACTAGTAGTAAGGCCAGGAGCCCCGTTCGTAGCGTCCGAACGCTCCGTTCGTAGCCCAGACGACGGATCTCCAAAGACCGATTCCGATGCCGGGGCGACCAGGGATGACGGAAATGACCGTCTGGGCACAGCTCTCGGGCGCTTGAGTTCCGTTCTCTCTCTCTCTCTCTCTTTGGATGAGGCCTATGCCGGTGGTTCACTGGTGCCGCGCGAGCGCGGATGCCCGGTGGATCACTTGCCTGCCGGGTGTTGATTGAAACCTCCCTGAAAAACGGAAAAAAAGGCAGCAGAATCACTCGTCCGGGTGGACATTTTCAGACGTTCTTATGGAAAAACCTTCACTGGGGCTTCTTGAAGCCAAAGGCATCATGTTCTTCGCTCGTGAGTTGAAACCACCAACTACTGTTTGAAACCAGATGCCTTGCTGCTCCTGAGCTTCCCACCTGAGAACTCAGGTTCGTCAAGGACATGGCCATGCTTGCGGCCAGCCTCTCCCAAAGGCCAAGGCCATGCGTGTATCGCCACGTCGAGCACGGGTGTACGTGTGTGGTCCACTTGGGTGGTCCGACCTATCTGGGTGGAACCCATTGGTTGTGACTACTTCCAACACTTCCAGAGCAGACCAGAATCATGTGAAGGGCTTTGACCTCGATATGGCGGGCAAACTCAAGAACTTACAACGCTTCGGAACATTCGCTGGTGCTTCCTATGTCGACTATGTTCTGTGTTTTGGGGATCTTCAATGGGTACCAGCCCTCAACCAGGCTGAGCGGAACGTCCCACTATGTCCCACTATGTCCCACTTCCCCCCCCCGGTGCAGCTGGGCCACTCGGGACACCGTCCGACGGGGTCGGAGATCGAGGCCGCCCGCAGCAGCGGAAGCCCTGGCGGAGCTGCTGGGGGACCTCGCAGGAGAGGACTGAGGCGATGGATAGGCGAGCTGGCGTAGCTGGGCGATCTGAGCTGGCGCTAGAAGCAAAAGTGTCACGCCAGCTGGGACTTCAAAGACGGTGTTTTTTCTGATCAATATAGTATATGCAAGGCTTCTGTTTCGGCGCAGTTGGGTAGGGTCAAAACAGTCATAAGACATTTTAACAGAACCTTCTCTTATAGACTTACAGCCATGGTGACAACAGAATTTTAACAGAATCACAACGACATGTTTATTTTGCTGTGACCTGGTGCTGGCTTTCCCATGTTTTCGAAGGCCGGCCACATCGCCGCCTCATCCGAGTCACTCGAGAAAAGGTGATCCCATAGAGCGAGCGAGTGAAGAAGTGAATATGAATCCACAAAAAGCAAACAAAAAGAAAGCGCAAAACGCAAGGAAACCCCGAAGTGAAGGATGTGCTGAAATCTATCAAGGCGCCTTCTTAAATAATATGAAAACCATCATGAACATTCCAAATCATCCCAATCCAGGCGCCTCAAAAAGACGCAAAAAAAGAAAATCCTTCGGTTTTCTTCTCGTCTCGTCTCGTCTTTGAAGACCCGGCCACTCTGCTGAGCATCGCCGGCCGCCCTCTCCGCACCGGGAGACGAGACTCGGGAGATGAGACTCGTTGGGAGACAAGAAGCTACTAGGAACAAGTGCATCGCTACTAGTAACAAGTGCCTTACTAGTAGTAACAAGAAGCTACTAGGGGCTCCTGGCCTTACTACTAGGAACAAGAAGCTACGAACGGAGCAAAGGGCCTTACTACGAACGGAGCGTTCGAAAGCTACGAACGGGGCTCCTGGCCGTACTACTAGGAACAAGAAGCTATTAGAAACAAGAATTTGAATGTTGTTTGCCATTCCCACAGGGTGGCCAATGTTTGCAACGAGACCGAATAGACATAGATTTATGTTGGGGCAGGGTGGCGCCCGCCGTTCACGTTACTGAACGACAAACTCCTAATGGCGCCTGGACAAAGAAGTAGCGAATCATTCGGTTGATTTCGGTTGGGTCTTTCTGTTTTTTTTCATATACTCCAGTCCCAGACAGGTCGTGTCTGGGTTTTTCTGAGCAACGCTTGTTTCATCTGGGTGTTTCTGGGCTCAAGATCCATGTGTTTTGAGCCTATGGCGTTTGAAGAAGCAACAGGCGTTTGTGTCTATGGAACCCGTTCTTTCCTTTTGCAACGGTGAAAAAGGACTCTAAACTCCGGATCAGCAAAGAGGGAAGGTTGACGCTGTGAATTGTGCATGTCTAGGCACCCTGGCGATCCCTGTGTTCCTTCCACAGTGAATTCTCGGATCCGACATCGAACTGGAGGAAGAACTAGGAGCAAGGGAGCGCTCCTCGCATTACTAACAAGGGACGCTGCAAGGAAAAAAGGGTCATCGCTACGAACGGAGCAAGAAGCATCCTCTCTTACAGGTACCATCCCCCCTTCGCTGCGGAGCATCCCCTTCGCTGCGGTTTTTCGCAGCCACGAATCGCTTTTCCAAGTCAAAAGACCGGTGCGGCACGAGAACCGGGTGCTGGAGGAAGTTTTAGACAGTTTGGGAGGGTATTAATGATGAAAGTTTTTGTGTTTGTTAAATTACCTTGTTCAAAAGAGGGGACTAAAACAGGAGCGACATGAAGTTGCCCAACCAAATTGCTAAGTGCAATGGAGTTTACTGAACCTTGAATTACAAATCCTGCATTGGTCAAGAGACCCCTCGAGAAAATGCATCCACTACAAAAACCATGGGTGTGCAGCTTCTATTCTCCTTCAGAGTTGCAGGCAGACATGCTGGATGGCCGAATAGCCTTTGAATTTGGAATAGCCTTTGACAGGAAGGGACATTCGATCGTGTACCACAGAAGATCCTGGCAAAGATCCTGGTGAAGAGCCATTTGTTCCAAGATGAATCCACACAAGCTATCCACATCAGCATGAACATCCAGGTGACCTGCCTTGCACATCATTGGTGTGGTGACCTGCCCCTGTGAGTCGATATGGTTTCCATAACGTAGCTAACGATTGCTAGTAGTAATGCACAACTGTTACGTTCGTAGCTTCTTGTTACGTTCGGTCCGGAATGGCCTCCACCCGAAAAACGCGATGACCTCCACCGTGCGTAGCGTCCTTGTGACATGTTTTATCCCTTCATGCCGTGGGTTTGCGAACGTTGAGCAAGGCCAAAGTACCCAGGAAGACTTTGCAACGCTCCCCCCCCCCACAAGTCTTCGAGTCGTATGGCAATATTGGTGCTCTCAAAAGTCTTCCTTCGGTCAAAATCTCCTGATAATCCCTCCCCTTCTTGCCAAAAGAACCCGCGTCGCGACCCTCGCCGGGTGCGCCTCGCCACCCGGTCGCGTCGCCACGCAGAGCCGACTGCAAGTGCCGCACGCGCATGGTGCGACCTTCACGGAGGCGACGGACGGGAGGACGGGAGGACGGTCGAGCGGCATCAGCTGAGCTTCGGTTGGAAAACCATCGAGTTGTTATGGGGAGGTTGGGAGGTGATTGGAGTATGTCCCAAGCCAACTGCAAGCGACCAATGAAAGGAAGCTGTTTTCTTTATACTCTCTTTTTGGTCAGGCTATCCACAAAGTACCAAGTCAGCCACGACCAAGCTTTTTCAACATGCCTTGTGCTTCCTTTTGGTTTGGGTGAACGAACAAATCTTGGCTGTCTCAATCAACGTTTCACGGCCGCTTTGAAGGGTTCATGCGATAAAGATTGAAACTGCTGGGATCTAGAGTTTTAAAAAGCTTTGAAAGCGCCTCATGTAATATGATGAAAGCACTCACAACTGAGCCAACGACCTTAATATAATCTATTCTATAATAATCTACTGTATAGTCTATGTGCTTCTTGGTGGATAGAAACCGCCCATGCGCCAGCACTTCCACCAACCAATCAGCCCACACCAACACTCACATCTTCAAACAGCCGTTTTTGATGTCTTCGCGGAAGAACGCCACGAACCGAACAAGTCTTCGCGGACACCACGCCGGTCAACACATGCACCCGGCAGGGAGCCACACAAAGGCGAGGTGGACGCGACGGTTCGACGCGCGGTGAAACACGCGACGTGGCGCAGTGTTCGAGAAGGTCCCACCCGATGATGAGAGGATGAGGTGATGAGAAGGAGTGACCTCTTTGTTACTAGCAGTAAGGCCCCTTTTTCATTACTAATCATGTCCAATAGGCACCCCTTTGTTGTTGAGTTTTCTAGAAACAGGATTACCAGCAGTCACAAGACGGGGTGCCGAACTTGGAGGTTAGGGGTGCCCACTATCCACTCACTGGATGGGACGAAAAACCACCCCGAGCTCTGTGACTCCATGTGACTCCTGGTATATAAGTTAAGGTAACTTAAGTCTGTGTCCTGATGCCTTGCAGGTCCAGAGAGTTTGATCTTTGAGGGTAGCCATCAAAGACCATGTTTTACGACAGAGAAATCGCTTCGTCGTTTGGTCATGGAAGACATGCCTTCAGGGCCCTCTCAACTTCGGGTGAACCAGGACGCACCTTACAGAGAGGTGCTGATCAATGTACTCCCATTTTTCTGAAACAAAGATATCTCTTTCCGTGAAAAGATCGATACCCCAAAGAGATGGTCCCGGTCGTGCCAGCTCTCAACGGTCGCCACGGATGCGCGGCGACCGTTGAGTCCGGCGATCCGGTGTTGAGGGGATCCCTCGCAGATTCATAGACCACAAATGGCCCATCCTCTGACATGCCTTTTGCTGTCGTTTCAGCATCGTTCAGACCATCTACAAGGATCTAAAAAGGATTCTCCATGAAACGACGGACTTGTTCACGTTCTGGGTCCTGTGCGACACGATGGTTTCGCGCTTTGTTCAGGTTGCTGGAGGACGCAGTGGGGAAAAGCAGAGTTGGCGCAGTGGGGATGTCCATGTGGCTGAAGATATTGGGGCCTAATTCAAGCTGGTTCTTCTAGATTATGGTTAGGTCCAGATCCATATGCATAATATGCTTCTATACAGGTTTGATCGTCATTTTATTCTTTGACCATTGGAAACCCTGACGAGACTGCAGATGGGAACAAATAGTCAGTGTTCATGATTTTATGTTGTTACCAGGTATTTCTAGGACACGGCCACTACTAGCTTCGGGTCTCCCGCGTGCAATTGTTGTCGCAATCGGAGGGATCGTGCTGTCTCGGATTCTGGAGCGATCCACTCGACAGACGTGCCATGTGTTCTGACCCCGCTGGGGTCTTCAGCCAGAGTGCCTGGAACCGAAGAGGCACCGCTGAACACATGTTTTTCCATGGCATACTTGCATATAAAGCGACAAATTTGAGACTCAACTGGATTTGCCAGTCAGGGCTTGCTAGCCAAGTCCCCATCAGTTGTGGAGCTCTGATGCATTGCTGGCTCGATGTGTTTGCATCAGCGATGTGTTTGCCTTACCCGGTGCCAACTATGCGAACCAGTGGACATACCTGTTCAGGAGCCTCAGGGACAACGTCAGGGCTTATGGCCTGGACGCCGAGTCCGCCCTGCTTTTAAGTAGTCCTGACTATTTCTATGTTCAGGATGCAAAAAATAGTTCAGGGGTTGGTGGTTTTCCCTTAGATGAGCAAAAATAGCAAAATAAGTAGCGTTCAAGCTGACCAAGGTTCCTTACTGGCCACGCAGATAGGGCTTGAAATCAGGGTCTGGCTACAGGGTGGTGTGATGTGGAAACAGCAGCCATGGAGTAGGCCAGGAAGAAGCTCGAAGGAGAGGTGAACAGGATTTTCGCTAACCGAGCCACTCATTCCAGGAGTTAAACTATCATGTTCTATCAACGTGTCCATATGTTTTCTCTTGGCCGTGGCATGGGTTTGGATTGCTCAACATGGCCTCGGGTTGGCACTACCAGACATGGATCAATTGGAAGCCGATGGCCATGAGGTCTTCAAGACGACGGGAAGCCGATGGCCTTCTCATACCTGTAGAATGGAACTCCAACTCCAGAGGTTCCGACAAGGACAAGGACGGTTCATCCGGAAAGACATGCGTTTGAGGTGCGTCCAAACGCTTGGTGGGGCGACCATTCGAAGGGTCCAAGTGAGTCCAAGTGTTTATAGAGACCCAGTTTCACGGTGTACATTTGTTTTGAGGGAATGCAGGCAAAACTGGCTTTATTGAACGTATACAGATATACGATATTAAAATATGAAGATCGATAATATGGATGCCAATCTAGCGGCGGTTGATGGTTCTTTTTCCAGCATTCCGCCCAATGAGTTGTCGTTGGGATGTGGCAATAGATCAGGCAGACGCCAAGATCCATTCTTGGGCTCCACGGTCCTGTAGGCCCTTTTCACCATGTCGTTGGGGCTGGGGCTGCATTCGTTTCCACCAGGCTGGGGTGAAAATCGCCGCTGGCTGCTCAGTGACGACCTAGGCATCGCTTTCGCCGGTCCTTCAACAGTTTCGCAGGAGGCACTGGACCGGGATTCGGTGCAGTTGGATTTGTGGAGTGTCGATTACCTTTTCCATTTGACTCCCTTTTAGGGTGTTGTTGTCGGGTTTGAACGTCTGTTCAAGATCAAGACGACCTGCCCATGGATCATTCAGTGGAGTCAGAGCCGGCTTTGCCCACGAAAAGCCTACACCAAACACCAAACTCACTCAATCGGTTGTGACCGACACCGACCGATCCGACGTGCACGCGACGATTCTGGAAGTTCCTCACCGGACCTGTAGCTAGATACGTGGGGAAAGGCGCTGTGACCGAACGGACCGAAGCTATTTATGGCTACTCACTATGGCTAAATCATGTCTATATCCATTGTCTTGTTGAGGAACAAAATGATGTTGATCAACTTCAAGGGCTCTCTGAGCGTATATCCAACATTGGTGGATCATCCTCTCAGTGTGCTAGGGGGTTGTTGACTGTTCTACATTTGGGCGCTTTGGAATAGGGTGCAAAAGCCGCCCTTTCACGCCTGGCCTCGCGACCTCGTGTCGTGAAGAAAAGAAATGGTCACAGGTCGGCACGCAAATGCGCCGCCGCAGCAAATGCCGCTCAATGAGTTCATGAGTTCATGACCATTCGACGTGAAACACAGCGACCAACGGACGTAGAGAATTGGACTTCTTATTTTCGACCCAAGACAAAGCAGAGAAGAGCCTCTCCAACCAGAGTGGTTCATTGCAACTCGTTGATGTTTTGAGACCAATCGACGTCCACTTTCCAGATGCTTCTAGATGGTGTCCACCCTGACATTTTTCTAGATGGTGTCCAGATGTTGTCCAGATGTTTCTAGTGTTTGATGCGAACAATGCAGCTTCTATCTCCTTTCTCAGAATCGATCTTAGAAGGACGAATACATCGATTCACAAATGGTCGACGCTCTATTGAAGACCAGCTGGGTTTTAGCCCACGAAGTTCTCAAATCCACACTGAGTTCCACACTGACGTCTGCCCTTTGGCGCTCAATCCTCCATGCGTCATGAGCCTCTTTGACTTGGAAAAGTACCAGGCGAAACCCGTCCGCGTCACCCGCGCGCGCGCCCCGTCGACGCTCGACGACGTGGCTTTCGGGCGAGTCGCCACGAGTCGCGCGCCGGTCTGGCCGTTCGTCACGAGTCGCTGAGAGTGGCGACGGGCACCTGTTTTGGATGCTCGGCGGATCTACGTGCTGCTGCACGTGGCGCCACGAACTCCAAATCACGGGATTTGGCCCAACCCGACTGGTTCTGTCCGGTGCATGGGGAACGGGTTGCTGAACGCCTGCCGTGCTGTGAGCACTGGTTCGGCCGATGGATGGAAGTCAGAAGCCCATGGTCCTGTCACCTTCCATCAACCCGAAGTGACTCATTTTGCTATATCCTCGTCACCATCTACCAGAACACTCATGACCAGGTTTCGATTGATAGCCCTTTAGATGTTAAGGGGTGTCCAACCACCCAATCTCCAGTGGGTCCTGGTATAGTCTATGGCCATGCATCACGATCAGGTCTATAGACCCGATCAGGTCGCCCTGATCTCTTCACCGCCACCGCATGAGACGGCACAGGATGTGTTGGATGCAGCAAAGCCGCCACACTCGGGCAGCGTGAGCAGCAAGGCTAGTCGGGTTTGTGTGGTGTTCCGTTGCGTTCGAGTAGAAATGTGTTTTTGTCCAATTCATGTGCCCGTTTCCCTGAAGAATCCGATGTAGTTATGGCTTGTGATGCTGGAGAGAGATCATAAAAGGTGATGCAAATGCAGATTTCGTGTGGCCTCTCAGGCTATTGAGTCGTGTTTCTCTAAAAATAGCAATTAACAGCAGACAGGTTTGAAAGAATTTAAAGCTTCTACAATGTCTATATACACAAGTTTTAGAAAGGTCAGTTGGACTTGAGGCTCCTTCCATCTCCACGTACAGAGCCTGCGTTGACACAGAGCCTTTTTCCCTGGAAACGATCCCGCGTCCAAGAACTGCAGGCCACCAGGGAGACCTTCAATCGAACAACTCACTGAGCTCACACATGTTGACTGCTGAATCACCTCATGTTGACAAGACCAAATTTCCGCTCATCGGTTCGCGGATTTTTTTCACCAGCTTATCGGTCGTCGGCGAGTTCGTCAGGCGCCTGCTGCTTGGTCGGCAGCACGAGCCAGGCTGTTGGAAGACGCCTTGTTTGGTGTGTGATGAATGTAAAAGTGGTACCAGGTTCCATGCCCAAAAGCATGGCAAAAGCATGCCAAGCTCATCTTGTATATTTGTTCCATGCCCAAGTGCTCTATGTCTAGAAAGATATGGCTGCATTCATCAACAACACTACCCACAGTGCAGGCCATAGTTGCTCACATGGAGTGTCTGGCATTTTCACGCTTGAGAGACAGGAACCCCATCAAACCAGCTATTCACCAGCAGTTTCGTTTTCTAAAATGCATGGGAAACCAATTCAAATTTGCTCTTTTTAAAGGACCTTCCTCTCCAAAGTCAATTTGTTCCCACGTTTCTCGTGAGGAGCTCCCAAGTCGAGCAGTCAGGTGCGGCCGGGTGTCCGGTCCGGAGCTGGTTTCAGAGCTGAATGAATCTGGAATCCGGTTTTTTCATCTGGTGCAATGTTTTTTATCCATTTGTTTGACCATCGGCTTTCTTCACCTAAAACAGTTCTCTGGTTCCTTTGGTCCTTTTCGTTGATGGACACCATGGTGTCCATCATCTCGACAAAAAGGACCCCGCCCAGATCTTTTCGCCGGTCCAGTGGATGGAGAAACTGATGCATCAAGCAGCTTGAAGCAGAACGGGTGCATTCTCGAAGAGATGTTTTTGGAGGCTCTGACCATATTCATCTGACCGTCTTACGGCGTAAATAGGTTCTTTTTTCGTTGGGTTCACGAGCAAACTCGTGCGGTGCATCGGCTGTGCAACCAAATCCACCACGGTGTGGTACTTCAGAACTGGCCAATTATTGTGGCCGGGGGTGGATGGCTTACATGCCAACAACAATGAGGAGTTGGATAGAAATGGAATGAACTAATATGAACTAGTCTGGGAATGTTTGCTGCACATGTCCAAAAAGCCATATGCCCACTGTCTGCATTTGTGAGTCTACCAAAGATGATTCTTCCGGTGGCTTCCAAAGAACATCAAAGAACAAACGAAGAGCTCAGAACCTTCTGTGGCTGTGTCCCCCAGAACCAGCTGTGTCACTGTGAAAAGTGGGTTGTTGGGTGCCACAGGTGTCGCATCCACGCCAGTCATGGCATTGACGACCGGACATGACTGGCACACGTGGATGACCAATCTGAAGGATGCAAAAAAACAATATGCACACACAGTAGCTTCCAGCTACTAGTAGCTTCTTGCTCCTAGTAGCAGCGATGGCCTCCACCCTAGTAGCTTCTTGTTACTACAGTGAAACAATTCCCTAGTGAAACGATTCCCGACAATTTGCACACACAGGTTTGGGTTTTTCGACGAGTCAAACACGACTGAATCGACAGCAAAACATGGCAACGCGGAGGAACCAAAAGCCGTTTTTGAGCTTCTCCAAACGACGTCATGTGCGACGAATGGTCATTGTCCACCGGTCAAAAGAACGCTCCGGTCCACGCGACGGCAAGTCGGAGACGGCCAGAAGACGACGGCGACGGCGACGAAGGCGAGTCAGAGGGCGGCGTGTCTTCCCGCCCGGTGAGGAGCTTCCTCATGACATGTGGGGCTACAGTTTGCAGAAAACCCATGAGGGTCAATCACATTGTAGTCGCAAGAAGTGACTTGAGTGGGTGGATTTTGCTACCTGAGTTGAGTGGGTCAGTCACAGTATAGGTGGGTTTTTGTTTGGCAGACAGGATACATCAGGATACACTAAATCAAAGAGAAGTCCTGAGATTGCTTGGGTTCTGTTGAAGAAAGTCTCTGATGGGGTTCACTGTTCACAGGACAAGCACATGGTCACATTGTAGAAAGAAAATGAAACTCTCAGTAGCTTCTTGTTACTAGAGAGTTCCACTTTCAGTCCAATATCGTCTATCCTCAAGTGATGTAGAGCTACCAAGGTACCCACTGAGTGAGGAGAGCTCCCATGGCATCCTATGGCGGATCACGGTCATAGGCCATGGCATCTCTTGGCTTTATAGCCCATCAATCCCTGATGCATCTCCTCGTTTTAGTATGTGACTCAGCTCGAAGAGAACAAACAATGAAGAAATGCTTTGTCTCTACCAGGTGTATGTACAAACAACACACTTCTTTGAAGAACATCGAATTCCATCCCTTTTTCGGTTTTCAGATCGCCTCGCAACCTGTGAGGCGTCTCCAAGCGGTGGCGGACCGCAGATTCCCTTCATCTTCGGGGAGTGCCAGTGGCTTGGCGACCCCAATCCTTCGATCAAAAACATGGTTTTAGGGGACGCTGATGCTTTCTAGATGTGTTCGAAGAAATGCGCCTTACATGCTTTGTACAATGCAAGTTTGTTCCCCTTCCGGTTGGAGAGACCACCTTTTGCCAAGAAAGTGAGACGGCCACGAAAAGATCCTTCAAAAGTCCCAGTATGATGCGCTGAATTCCGCTGACCGAATTCAGCTGAAGGCACGTGCGGCTTCAGCTCCTTGAAGCCAGTGGTGTCACTCCCTCTAAAGACTCTCGCGTTCGTGTGGTGTCATGTTTTGGTGGAAAGCGGAGTCACAGTTGCCGTGGAAAGCCCAGCCACAATCGGTGAAAGTGGGTCTGGCTTGAGAGTTCTGAGAAGACCCTCAGCGCAAAGTTTCAACACAGCTTGTTTTGATTGATATAGACTATTATAGATATTATCATATTAGGAACCTTCTTAGCTCATCTTGGCTCCATAAACAACCGTCTCAAGTTTCCTCATCGCCTCAAATCAGCTTCATCTCTACAACTTCGCCCTAATCCGTGTCGGAGATTCACCGGTCCATCCGCACGCACTCAGAGATTCGAGCTTGACCCCCCATCCGGTTCCCACGCGACCCGGTCCACCGGTGCATCCGGAGGTTTCAACCGCGGCAACGGACCTCGAAGACCCAAGCGCAGTACGTGCTGAGCACCGGCCAGGAGAGATGTGCAGATCCGGTCCGTGAGACCGCTAGGGCGCCCCGTCGGCCGGTTTCAGAAAGAACCACAGTGTTCAAAAGGGTGTTTAAGCCGGGGCGGTTTGGGGGGGGGTGTAATTCGGAGTTCTTCCGAAGCTGCCGAACTTGTAATGAATTGTATTCTTGGGGGGGGAAGGCCTTCTCTCTTTGTCTATAATGTGCCTAGCACACAGCTGCAGTTTGATTTGCTTCAGGATTTCAGTTTGGATTCTGTGTCACGTTCCGGTTGTTCCTTTTCAAGGCATTGCCTTTGTTGCCGATGACCAGTTTCCACTCACGACGCCAGGAGGTGGTTTGCTTCACCAACTGAGAGGTTTTCAATCCGTCGGAGGGTGGCCTACACTGACCCCAACGAGGGGAGCCCAAAACAAGCCATGCGAGCTGAGCATGTCCGACAAGCGGTCCGTTGTTTTGTTTCACTACCCACGCGGTTCGTTGTTGCCCTTGGAAGAAGTTGCTCCAAGACTTCCCCGGTTTGTTTGGGACCAAGAGGGACTGACCGAATTAGGCATAAATCAGCCGTCCCCGTGTAGTTAGCTAAATCAGCAATCAACTCAAAACCCATAGTAGCGTCCTTGTTACTAGTAACTTCTTGCTCCTAGTAGTAGGGCCAGGAGCTACTAGCAGCGATGCCCTTGCTACTTAGCTAGATCAGCAACGACTTCATAGACTACTGGGGTTCCCTTGCCACAAAGTTGAGAATCCCACGCCCTTCCACGTGCCATCCACCTATGCTCAGCCAGCAGTGAACCTCCAACAAGCCTTTGGGAGAATGTGCGGCAAGAACTACAGGAACCACAATGCTGCTGGGGCGCTTTTCGGGGCCCACCCTGTGCTCGGATAGACTCGCGTCGCTGGCGCGCGACTCGTCGCCTCTGGAAAATCAAGGGCGGCGAAACGCTACGTGTTGTGCAGCGGTTTCTGCCAGCACAATTCCAATCTAGGTAGATCATGGTAGATGGACATCCTGCAATTCCTGTACAAACAATGGAGAGTGAATCGCCTACTTCAGGTAGCAACGTCAATCGGTAATTAGGACCAGAGTCCTTGAAGTGTTGAGGTAAGTGAAACATTGGGAAATCTACAAAGTGCGGCCCATTGGGCCAAGACATAGTAGCAAGAAGCTACTAGGAGCAAGGGCATCGCTGCTAGTCACAAAGGGGACTGTTCTGCATGTGGCGCCTTGTGGTGCGCAAAGAAGCCCTTCCCCAACAAAAGGGGCATAGGAGTCATCAGAAAGCATGGGAAAACCATACTAGCAATAAGAAGCTACTAGTATTAAAGGGCATTGTTACTAGGAGTAAGGACGCTACTAGTAGCTCCTGGCCTTACTACTAGTAACAAGGACGCTACTGGTAACAAACCATCCCAAGGAGCGACTCAAAGAGCTCCAAACCACGTGAACCTCACACGACATGCAACCTGGGTATTTGCCACGGCGGTCGTGGGGCGTTGGAAATTCACACCCCGATACATACGACTACAGTACCGACATTACGTTTGATTTTATAGCTTCAATTTCCACCTGATGGATAGTGTTCAGCTCCGCTATGATTAACAAATATAATATATTACTGCAATGTATATTTATATAATGTTTAAAAATGTATTTCGATGACACCATCTATTGCAAATCCCAGGCATATATCAGCGTGCATCGGCCTAGTTGATTCAGAAGTAAAAATTACATGTTGTTTAGTGTGCCAAGACAACTAGTAACAAGAAGCTACTAGGAGCACAGGCATCCCTACTAGTAACAAGGGCATTACTCCTAGTAGCTAGTAGTAGTAGTAGTAGTAGTAGTAGTAGTAGTAGTAGTAGTAGGAGTAGTAGTAGCAGTAGTAGTAGTAGGACTAGTGGTGGTAGTAGTAGTAGTAGTAGTAGTTGTTGTTGTTGTTGTTGTTGTTGTTGGTTGTGGTTGTGGTTGTGGTTGTTGTTGTTGTTGTTGTTTAGTGTTGCTTGCAGATCCACAGGTGTCCGAATCCTTTGTCCGCATGTCTCCCCGCATGTTTCCTCCGCGTGTCTTCTCGCAGGCGATTCCCTACACGAGAATGGTGTGACCCGGCAGGAACAAGAGGACGCAGACCGAACGGAGCTACGAACGGGCATCGCGAACCGAACGGAGCGATCGGACGATCAGAAAACGGGGCTCCTGGCAAAGCTATGTAAATGAATTCGGCCAATGAAGGATGTAGTGTTTCCTCACCCGGTTAACCTGGAAGATTGGTTCCAACACCTGAGAGGAAACGAAGTTGGACTGTTTCGAACAAGGCCGCTCTGCCCCCCAACCTCCTAGCGATGGTGCAAAAAGTGTCCGGACATACCACCCCGTTTGCATCGACGGGTTTTCTATCCACGAAATGGAGCCAGGTCTTTCCTTTTCTACTTTGTATAGTGCACGTTCATGCAGGAGGCCTTACAAAGACATGATGAATAATTTTATATATTTGGGTCTGTCCTCTTTTCCGTGATGGTCAGGAAAAAATATCATGACTTCGGCAACAAGGCCTTTACTCACCATCATCCTCCACAGGCCCTGGTAACAGGATAGACCCAAGATAGATGCATATTTCAGCGGAACCCAAGATAAGAAAGTATGCGACACTCCGATTTGACCTGGCACCGAACATGTCTGAAGACAGGTTGTGCCCAAACATGCGCTCCAGCTCAGCTCCAGAAGACTGGGGTTCCTCATGTCCCTCCTCTTCCATTTTTCTTCCTCACCGAAAGTGCTTCCTCACATTCACGAACAACTCCGTGCGACCGGGGCGACGGTGGGTGACACCCCCCCGAGACGGAGCGACGGACGCGTTCAGCGCGCGTCCGGGACTGGGGTCCTTCGAGTCGGGCTCCGGTCGGGCTCCCGGTCGGGGCTGGAGAGTGGTTTTTCGTTGAGAAGTGAAGCCCTGAGTTTCTATCTTGGAACCCCGAAGAACATGCTCAATGACAAGTGTGTAGTTATGATAAAACATGTTAAAACCCAAAGGATTTTGTTGGTGTCTGACGCCTATGGACCCTATGGATGTTTGGAAAGAGATTCCTTCAGGTGGCCTTCAGCCCCGAGCTGGAGCGCGAGGTCCGCGCGCGAGACGACGTTCCCGTTGACCACGGCGAGAACAGATGTCACCGCGTGTGAAGGAGCAGTGAAGGAAGATGTTTTGCACCGGAGGAGAATGAGAATGATTCAAACATCCATATTTGGAAATCCATTCAAGTCATGTTTGTGTGTTCATGTGTGTGTTTCTTGTGTTTTTCAATACTCAAATCCAGTAAGGTACCTTGCTACTAGGAGCTTGGTGCAACATATTTCATGCCTGTTCATGTGTTTGTTTTTGTGTGTTTGTGTCTCGGAAGCAGGCAATGACTGGCTAGATCATAGAAACGAACGGCCAAAAGGGCTCCGGCAAAAACCCGGGTTACAGACTCGCAGACCCAAAAATAGAGCTTGAGAGTCCCCAAAAGGTAGTGATGGGGGGGACCTTCGAAGGAACATCGTCCCCTTGACACCAGCTTCGGAGACGGACCGGACCTCCACCGAGCGACCGTCTCTTCGAGTCGAGTCGTCCAGGTGAGGCGAACCTTTCCTTCTCCCACATCGTCCAGCCGCGGCGCTCGTGCGGCACCCGGAGTGCGGTAGGCGGTAGGCGGTATACGTGTCGGTCGGTCGGTGGAAGCGATCGGTTTTGGTGGTCGAGGACGAAAAGAACAGAACACCGGTCCTTTAAAGGTTTGAAGAACACATCACACGAAACCGCAGAATCAACGAATTTGAAAGGACCAGAAAGCTTTTGTTTGTTTTTGTTTTTTTTGAGATTCTCAAAGGCTTGAGCACCTACAAGCAGGTCCTTGAACCCCGTTGGACCCTACTTCAGGTTTGCGGAAGCCATTCGAAGTCAACGAGAAAAGACCGGGCGAAGACCCAGCTTTGCCAGGAAGACCAGCCTTTCTTCAGCGCTGCAAGAAACCGCAACCGAGAAGTTTGTTGAGTCACTGAACCACATGGTGGTTCAGCTGCCTTGCTTGCTTGGCGCAATGATCGCATTAGGTGGGGAACAGTTGGACTGGTGCGTAGAGCAAGGCAGTCTCCCCGCTCGCCCATGGCTACGGTGTAAATTTGAAGGTCGCCGCCAATGGACCACTGCGCACCAGAAGACGGGGCTATATCTGACGAGTAGAACGAGTCCGCCCGCAGACATCCTGTACTCCATCCAGCTTGCGAGAAACGACCTCTGCACCATTTGATGGGAGCCAGCGCAAAGAGGAAGTGTTCCTGTTCTCAGTGCTGGCCAGTTTGGCTCCTGCTGCCAGTGTCGGGTGTGTCGGCGCCTGTCGGTGTCGTGGCGAATTTCAAGATTATCCGCAAGCGCCAGCAAATCGTGGAGAGCTCAGAACAGGCCAAGAAGCGATTCCGGGACGCTGATCAGGCTGATGCATGGCAAGCACGCCTGGAGAGGCAAGTTCTCAGATCAGGTCCCGCCAAATAGCACTGCTTGCACCTTGAAGCCGGCAATCTTTGTCTGAGTCTAAGGGCCGCAAGCACCGAACTCTGCGATGCTGCCTGTGTTAAAATTACTTATGATCCCCAGCATCACATTTCAATCATTTGCTTTCATGCCATAGTGAAGAGCAGGTTGCCATGGTCGTGAGTTTTGGGGTTTTCGATCTTGCTTGTGGAGCCTCGATTTGGGATTGCTATTTTAGTGTTGGGGAGTTCGTGTCGGGGTGTCGCCAGTGTCTCCAGCTGGCATCCAAAAGTGCTACCCTGTGACCACCTGCCGCACAAAATGCCACACACACAGGTAACTTTATTGTTGTGCTTGTGATTGTGTGTTGTGGTTGTGTGTTTGTGGTTGCGGTTGTGGCTTCCGTGTGTCGTGGCTCTGTGTTTGTGCTTGTGTTTGTGTCTGTGTGTTTGTGACTGTGTTCCTGGATTGTCGCTGTGCTCTGTTGGCTGTGTATTGTGTTTGTGGTTGTGTGTGTGTTGTGTGTTGAGGACCGGTAGTGCCCACTGCGACCTGGCGCTTGCTGTTGAGGTCCGGTAGCCACTGCGATCGGGCGCTCGCTGTTGAGGTCAGGGAGCGCCCCTTGCGATCATGCACGTGCCGTTGAGGTATAGCCCATTGCGATCTCGAGCTGGCAGTTGAGGCGCAGCAGTCAAGAAGACGAGGCGAGGACACGAGGAGGAAGGAGGAGAAGAGCTCTGATAAAATCTAACAACCCTCACTTGGCAGGTAGGGAAACATGCAGCTGGTACCCCCGCGGAGCAGCGTCCTGCGGCAATATTAATATTACCAGTTAGAAGACTAAGAGGCACCGCAACTGAAACTATACATCCAAAGATATAAGTTGACAAAAGGGCTGACTGGCATGCACGACCTTGCGCCCGACGCGAAGTTGATTCAGAATCCCCAGCCGCGTTGTAGCAACCGTTCAAACCGAAGCAGCAAATCTTTTTTCGAAGCCAACAGGACTGACGAGAAAGTCGAATGGTGGAGCAAAGGAGGACATGCTTGGCAGGGCAATTGGGCACATCTTGGGCATGTCAGCACCTATTGCTTGAAAGGCTGCTTGGAGCTTTGGCATGAAGATGAAGGTGTACTGCACTTCCTCATGCGCGTATAAAACTCAATCCAAAGAAACCTATATTTCCGTTGACACAAACCTGAGTCGTGAATCAAAAGCATGTTTTCCTTCCTATCAGTTGGTGGTCAGCCCAAAACCAAAACACGATCCCATCAGAGCTGTTGCCACGCCCATGATGGCGTATGGCGGATGGGTGGTCCAAACACCTCCAACAAGGAAGTCAAATCAGGACAGGCCGGGTGTTCAAGGGTTGTTTTGAGCGGAAGGCTGCTGCCCGACATCAGAAACAGTTCCTCCTCACCACGTTCTCCTGTGCCCGGTGCCCCCCATAGCCTGGACTTCAACCAGTCCTTTTCCGGGAAATATGAAGGTGTTTAATCCTGTGGTTGGAACATACACCACAACCAATCCTTTTATAAAAGGGTTACCCGTTCCTTTACTGAATGTGTTTTCAAGGTCATTTTATCATGGGGTACTAGGTCAGATTTCCAGGAATAATGTCAGTCAGCAGCCACAAACCCTTTTGTAAACAGTCAGGTTGTTAGCATGCAGAATTTGGATTGGGAACATTATACATAAAATATGTATTCAAGAGCATTCAGGGTCGGCAAACTCGGTTGTACAGTCAATGTGGGCGTCCTTAATGGAAGTTAGAGGTTGCGGCAAATTCATGTTGTAAAAGCACCGGTGCTGTTGCCAGGAGATACCTTATTTTCTTTGTTGGTCACTCACATGCCATTGATGGGCGTCAATTTTTAGTTTTGTGCCCATTGCTGTTCTTTGATTGCAAGCCTGTGGCCATTAGACGAGATGAGCCAGTGCTTCATACCCCCCAAAAACGCCCTCGATTTGAGAGACTGCTCCCAGTTCTTGTTCGTTGCTCCGTTCGTAGCGATGCCCTTATAGTTGTACTGCCAGGAGCGCCCCCGTTCGCAGCGTCCGGTCTCGGGGATCCGCCCAGGGAGCCGAGCTGCTGCACCCGCGCCGGACAGATGGGACCGTGCCGGTGGACGTACGGTGTGGGGGTTTGCCACGGTTCGATGGGTCTGAAGGGGAAAAACATATCTCAAAGTATGCAATTAGAGAAGACAGATAAACATCAACTAGGTAGAATGGATAAGGAATAATGTAATTTAGTATTGCGAGATGGAAAAACATGAATGGAAATAGAATAGATCCAAAATGAACATATACTTTAGTATGAACGAGTTGAGGAATAATAGGATTACATCCATTGACTGGAGACGATATAATACCATATCAACCTGAATTAGAAGGTCCAATGCGTCTTTGAGTTGCAGCCATGATTAATTCCTCGGATCGTATAAGAAATATAGAACTAACCAAGACCAAGACTGACAACTTGTGAGATAGATATGATTTTTTGCATGTATAGTAATTAGTATACAGATAGTCATGAAATATATGGTTTGATGTTGTGGAATGTTTGCTTTGCGGGAAAAAGACTGGATAGCCAGGTTTTGACTTCCATCACCATTTGTATTGTTGGCAGTGAAAATGATTTCAGTCCCAGTGTTGTTGTTTTTTTAAATCTGGTCAACTCAGATATTCTTCAGCCAGGCAGGCTAGTTAGCTTGGGCCACACTGGAGTGTAGTTTGAGCCATGAAGTTTGGTTCGGCACCTGGGGAAAAGAGGGCATCTCGAGCTCGGAACGGACGAGAGGTTGGACAAGATGGCTCTGAACGGACCATGTCATTGTTGATTTGCAATATCCCGGGGCGGGGATCGCGGGGATTTGATGTCGCCTGAAAGGTTGAAAGCTTTTGGAGTCCTCTCGTTTGCGAGTTCGTTTGCTTGATTTGGCATAAAAGTACGAGCACCATGGCAGTCTACCATTCAAAAATTGGGAGTTGTATGACTCGGCACCATTCACTCTGGCACCCTCTCATGTGCGAAAGCAAAGAAACCAGCCGCTCCACATCTTCACTCGTTTCTATCGATGGATCGAGTTCGGGGTTCGATCGTTGCCATGGAGCATCGGCGACGTCCACGTCCACTTACACCGCTGTGTCGATGGTGTTTCTCGAACGAACCTTCCAGTAGCCCCGATCTTTTTCGCGAAGAAAGAGGCACCGTTGTAGATGGGTCTTTTTGGGGTGTCGATTCTCGGTCCCATCGACCACAGACTGTTCCTCCATGGAGGATGAGTGACCCGAAGACTTCACCGGCACTCCGCCACTTCATTCGCGCGGAAAATGCTCCTCCTAGCGTCCTTGCTCCGTTCGTAGCGATGCCAAGAGCCCGTTCGTCGTGTCCTTGTCACTCTGTCAGGAGTCTGGCGCACAGGCCGCCCGAATGCGCGGCGTCGCGAGGTGTTGGGCACGAGCATTCGGGGGAGGAACACGTTGGCATATGGCTGGAGGCATCGAGGCGGTCGAATAGCCCCCGGATGTGTTTCACCTCAGACTCTTCTCATGTCATGCACTAGATACTTCTGAAGTAGCATCATTTACTGCTTATTCAGGGTACTTCATCAATTGATTGGACTAATAGATTGGTGAATCCGCTGAGCATGGATCAATTGTCCTTGCACTTTGGCCTATTTGGAGCACATACCACATATATGCACATATATGTCCTATGCCACATGTTTTTGCGAGGCTACATGGTCTCAGTGATTGGTAGCGCAGGGCCGGTCAAGTTGTTCTTCAATCTTGTTTAACAACCAGGTGGCCTCGGAGAATGGTGCAATTGAAAAGAACCAGAGACGCCGAGTATGACCAAAACTCTCAAAAACATGTGACAGTTGAATTCCACATCATGCAACTTTCTTTGGATGAAAGCGAGCACTCCACGTCCTGTCCCGTTTCAATTGGCCAAATCCACAGGTCACGGGTGCAACGTTGGTTTTCGGAGGGCTACAGTTTGAGCCAACAGTCGCAACTGCGGGTCTCTCTTGTGGCAGCTGTTTTGCTGGAGCGTCAAATGTCTCCGGTGTCTCCAGTGTGTGGAAGGTGTTGACCCATTGATTCGGGAGGACGCAGGAACAAATATGCTGAAATGATCTCAACTGGTTTGTTTGGGATAATCATGGATAATCAGAATGTGTGTGTGTGTGTGTCACTTCCTGTTTCAAAGGACATACACAATGCAGAAAAAAATTGAAAGGCAGGGGACCAGGCATCTTGCTGCTGACCTGGTCTAACAAAGCTAGGCAGCGAGATGGGAAGCACTGGGAGACGTCCCGGTGTGCACCTGCAGATCGATGATGTAAACAATATTGTTTCTGACCTTGCCACCTTTCCGTTGCCTCACAGGGCTGTTTCTCAGATTTCAGGCAGCGCTCTAAACGGGTAATGTATTCACTAGAGTGGGCGACCTTCACCGATTATCTTGCGAGCATCAATCTAAGTGTGTGTCGTCACAGGGTCCCACTGAGGGCTGTGGTGTGATCCCCATCGAGGGGCGCAGCATGTGCACAGACCCGTAAAGGGGGATCCCTACTGATTGTCCCCTGCCTTTCATGTGATCGTCCAGTGATCCTTTGATGACTTCTCGCTTTGCTTGGATTTACTGATCGAATGCCGCAGGGCCTACTGAGATCGAACTACTGAAAATCACCACATGATCATGCGCGTCTTTAGACAAACGAAACTGACTAGACATATTCAGGGACTTCAAGGGAGTGCTCACTGAGACTATATGCCGCAGGGCTCACTGAATGAATACCACATGCCACTAGGTAATCACATGTCACGTCAAAAAACGAGCGTAGGCGTGAAGTGACTGGATACCTACGGGCCTGCAAACCCCCACCGCCACCCCTCCCACCCTACACCCCTCGCACCTGTCTTTCCTTTCTTCAACGCACGCCCTGCCCACACCCCGCACCCCCTGCACCTTTCCTTTCTTTTCCTGCTTTTTCGTTTGCCTTGTTCCTTCTTTCAGGCTTTTTGGGTTGGCATCCAGGCTCGTTTAGTAACGCACTCCCTATTTCCCCCCCCCCCCCCGCGGTAAAAAAGACTGCGCCGAATTCGGCTTACTCGCCATGCTTGGGGGCAGGCACCACAGCACGAGAATTCAACAATTTTTATCCCTGCTCTAATTAGGGTAAGAGACGGAAATCATACTCAACACAGTTGTGTGTTGGTGCCTTTCCTTCTGTTGCCCCTGTTCTAGTCTACCCTACCCGGGCGGTCTAAGACTGAAGTCCCGCTCCCTAACTTTGCACCTAATTCATGACGGCTAAGTAGTCTAACTGGTGGGTTTTGTAACTGCCCCTACCTTTCTGTCTTGCCCTCTTCGGTTTCTCTTTCTGTCGTTCTTTCTTTCTAAGGCTTGTTAGGTGGCTACTACAGTCTTACCTCGATAATTTGACATTTTACGGCAGGGCTGCATGACCCTCTACGCCTATCGTTCCTTCTTCCCCCTCTTCCTCTTGCTCTTTCTGTCTTTCTTTCCTTTCTTTCTAAGGCCTGTTAGGTGGCTATTCAGGTGGCACCTCGATTATTTGCCGGTTTCCCGACAGAGCTGTGTGGTCCTCTACACCTATCTTTCCTTCTTGCCTTTTTTCCTCTTGCTCTTTCTGTAATTCTTTCTTTGCTTCCTGTGGTCATGATTCTGGACCGTCCACATCTCGTTTTTCCCCGGAAACCCCTTAGCGCGCCGGACCACGGCTCTGTGTGTGTGTGTGTCACTTCCTGTGTCAAAGGACATACGCAATGCAGAAAAAGATTGAAAGGCAGGGGGACCAGGCATCTTGCTGCTCACCTGGTCTAACAAAGCTAGGCAGCGAGATGGGAAGCACTGGGAGACGTCCCGGTGTGCACCTGCAGATCGATGATGTAAACAATATTGTTTCTGACCTTGCCACATTTCCGCTCTCTCACAGGGCTGTTTCTCAGGTTTCAGGCAGCGCTCTAAACCGGTAATGTATTCACTAGAGTGGACTCCCTTCACCGATTCAGCTCTTGCGAGCATCAATTAGTCTTTGAAGAAAGGTCTGATCTCAGGGCCATGAGCATCAAAGGTAGTTGTTTTGTCACCACATCCAGGCGTGACTTTCTCACACCAGACTAACTAACAAAGGAATACAAAAGATAGGTGCATAAAGGGAGATCCTGTATATAATTCTGCATTTTGTGCTTGTCCAGGAGCAGTATTGAAGAGTGTCAGAAGCCTTTCAGCACTTTTAGACTGTAACTAATCAGCTCCTCTGGGTGGTCTGCGTTCTATCCAAAATTCCGGTTTGGAAGAGGCAGGGACCCGGTCGGAGACGCAGGACCCGTCCGACACGGTCCTCAGTCACTGTAACAGATCGACCCTGTTTTGGAGGTCATAGAGCCGAGCCACTGCCAGGGCAGATACCGAAGTACCAAATGTTCACAAGATCAAATCCTTTACAGGTTTTTGTTGGGCGCAAATTCTTAGCATTTTGGGGGGGATGTGTTGTTGCAGCATGATGGCAACTGGAGTTGAAAGAACTGGAAGTTTAGTTTCCATAACAGTTGGTATTTTTGTGTTTGTGGTCGTGGCTTTGCCCTGCTCTGTTTTTTGAATCGGCCAAAGTGGTACGTATTCAGTGTCAGGCTGACATAACTGCGAACGCCTAGCACAGTTCACAACCATGTATGCAGGCTTGGTGGTTGCTAGCGCGAGCCACAACTGCCAAAAGTGTGGGGCAGCAGCTCGTGCTTCACCCACATCCTTGGCAATAGTCGCTTGCGAAGGCCCCGCTTGCACCACAGCCTGCGTCAGGCAGACAGCATCAAAATCGAAGGCATTGTAGTTGCGCCCCTACCAGACCTGGAAGCGACGCACTTCATACCAAAACAACGGGTTTCGTCACTGGATCTTGGTAACTCAAATTGACACGATCGGGCAGCGACTTCGGTGAGTAGTGGGAGCTTGCTCTGGGCCCGAAATAGAAACTCACAGGCAATTCGGCTGGCTCAACAAGCTCGCACTGCGCGTTAAGTTTGTTATTCTGCTGTAGACCATCCCAGATGATACATGAAATGGGCAGTGTCTCCTGCAGGACCATATGGATGGGAACATATGTTTCCTCCAACCCACTTGGTCATTCCAGATGGCAACACCAAGGTGGAACACCTTCCAGTTCCCTCCCAAAGCCAAAGGGGCATCGCTACGAACCGAGTTCCTGGCATTACTACTCGTAACAAGGACGCTACCAGTAACAAAGGGCCTCGCTACGAACGGAGCAAGGACGCTACGAACGGAGCATTGGCTCCCAGAGCCGACTGTTCATCGCCGTCGGACGGGTTCAGACCAACCGTGGCCAGGTGGGGCGCTACGGGGGCAACGATGCGGTGTCCTTCGAGGACGGCAAGGTTGAACAGAACGACGCGTTTCGGACGTTTGAAGCAGACTGAAAGAGGGAGATCAAGGAGTAACAAAGACGAACTAACCACATTCTTTGCAGATCCAACTCATTGTGTGCCACAATGTTGCCCTGTTGATACCTCTTTCGATATCTTTGGGTTGGTTTCCAAACGAATCTACGGCATTAGGCCCACCAATCGCAGGTGTTTCTTTCCGGCGATGGCATTGGGTAGCAGGTAACCCCACGACCTCACCTAGCAGCAACAAAAATTGTAAAACATATTCACCAAACACGTCGGGGACAATAACCAACCTTTGCGATCCAATTCTTTGGCGTGAAGCGACTGGTGTTTCACTGGTGTGAAAGCATAGCAATGAGAAAACGATTGGTTGGCAGCAACAGTTCCAGGCATTTGTTTCGAATGAAGGCTGATTCTTGGTGAATGGAACGAGCTCTTTCAATCCAAGTGGGCGGGGGGGTCAATAATCAAGAGTCTACATGAGGTTTCAGGATTGGCCCGCCATGTTTTGGACTCTGACAGATCCTCACCGGTCAGGATTTGTGGTCCTGAGCGCGGTATCAACCCCAATCCATTCTTGGATGTGTTTCTTTGCACTGAAGCAATGTTTGGAAGGGTTCTCCAGCAAATAGGTTGGTGCAAAATCACTTAGCAAACAAAAACTCTAATTCAACTAAATCTATCCAAATCTCCTCAAAAGTAAACCAAAATGCCCTTTACAGCTCAAAGCCCGCAAAACAGCGCTTGTTCGAAGCCGCGTTCTCTTGGAAAGGAGTCGGAGTCAAAGACATGAACAAAAAGAACGGACCACGTGGACCCTGAAAAACCGGGCGGTCGATGATCATGCTCTGTTGGGTCCATGTTCACGGTCTATGACCTGGGTCTGCCGGTCAGGGGGAAAGTGTGACTGACCTGCTCTGAAAGACGAAGCGAAGAAGGACATGCAGGCCTTTACCGATCCAGCGGCGGACACCGCCTCCACCTTCCTGGGCCAGGTGCCGATGGGAGGAGAGGTCCCATGTTGGATGAGGTAGGAATGGCCTCCAATAGGAATGGCCTCAGGAAGGAGCGATCACCTCCACCGATGTTCCAGAAGTGTGTGTACCAGAGTTGCCCAGCATCGGTTTGTTGAAGGGTCATGGAGGAAAATGAAAGGACACCGGACACCGCCTTTTTGGCCGATCTCAGGAATGCTCAAGGTACCTCAGACAACGATCGAAGAACAAGCTGACTGGTGCGACACGTAGAGAATGGTTTTTTTTCTATGGATCCTAAGGAATCTATAGTGGAGGGTCGCACCATTCCCTGCTTTCGTCGCACCAGTTCGCCGATGTCTGGCCCGACGCACGACGACTCTCTGACGCCACGGAGGAATCGGCAAGCCACAGCCGTTGAGCAGTGGACAGACAGAGTCTATGTCAATCGGCAAGGTTTTCCAAAAAGAAGTAACTGGAAGCTTCCAGTACTAGTAGTTCCTGGCATTACTACTAGTAGCTAGAAGCTACTAGGTTGGAGGCCATCGCTACGAACGGAGCGTTCGGACGCTACGAACGGGAGACAGCTTTAGAGACGAGTCTCAGTGAGGAAGTTCAAGGGAGCAAGGCTGGCCAGAGCCGTTGGCTCCGTCAGGAGCGTGGCAGGAGCGCACGCTGGGAAGTCCACGGGCAGAGCGCAGCAGGGGAGTGCACAGCTGGGGAGTGTGGCAAAGGAAGAGCGGAAGAGCGCAGATTCGGTGGAGCGTGGCGCGCCAGGAATCTGCGACCCGTTCCAGCTCAGTGAGTCCGGATGCTCGTGGAGCAAGAAAACCGCGGCCAAACCGGGCTCGCGGCCAACCAAGCACGGAGTCGTGCCCCAAAAACACACGCGGTTTCAAAGACGCCGAGAAGGTCTGCCGCGAACGCCTGGGACGTGGTCGCGCCAAAGAGCCGGGGGCGGCTGCGGTTTCTGCCATCTTCCCCTCAGTGGTGAGAGGGGTTGGTTTTTTGCAGGGCATCTTCTATGCAGCCTCGTTTTGGTAACCTTCTCAACTTGCAGGCCATCATTCTGAGGTTGGAGGCCATTCCTATTAGGTTTGAGGCCGTCGCTAGTAGGTTGGGGGCCATGGCTCTTTGGTTGGAGGCCATCGCTGTTAGGTAACCCTCTCAACAATGCTCACTTGTGGCACTGAGTCGTTTTCCAGATCCCATTTTTTGAGGGGCCGGGACGCCGGCGTGGACACTGGTTTTGCTCCCCTTTTGAACCTCCAGCAGAGATGCCAATCATAAAGCAGGCAATTGGCGCCGGAGAGAAAGTGATATATTGATAGGTATACAGTGATACGGTGATTGATGATATATTGAATTGGGTCTGTCCTACTACCTGTAACAGTCAGTAAACAAATATCACTATTCTTACTCAAGGCCTTTACTAACCATCATGATCCAGTGTTACGGATAATAGGACAAACCTAAAGACCTAAATGATATACTTATGTAGATGTCAGTATATTTATTGATAGGTCATGACACTACTACTCCAATGATGCGCGTTCTGTTTGCTCTCTAGGATTGAACCGTGCAAGGCGAAGCTGAGACTGGTGGACAAATCTTCTCCTTTCCCAAGAAGGGCGTTGTGTGCAATATGTATAGCTATAGTCCGCTGCAAGTCTTTTAATTAACTTGCCAAAAGATGTTTCGACTAGTGGCTGAGCAGCTGCACATACAAATCTTCGTGTGAGCGTGGCATTGCTCGGTGTGTCGACGCTGCACTGCCACGAACATCTGCCGTTCCTGCTGTTTGGAGGCTCCTCGGCATGTGCACAGCAACAAGAACTTGCTCCCTGGTCTCTTGGTCGAAATAGAAACCATAAGCTACTAGGAACAAGTGCATCGCTACTAGTAACAAGTGCCTTACTAGTAGTAACAAGAAGCTATTAGAAACAATACGTAAATAAATAGAAACAATAAGCCAAGGAAGTTCTCTTAAAGGAGATGGGACGCTGGGACCTGGTCATTGATGACTGTCGCGTGACGTAGCCAGGTGTCCGGCACCAGCGGGTGTGTAGGAAATCCATATCACAGTGGTGGGGAAGATGAAAAGCTCGTTTCTTGGGTTGCATTTTAATGGACAGCGTGTTTATCTCTACTTCTCTGAACGGAATACCGTCTCCCACCAGGCTCACTCACTCCTGAAACACACTGACATGAGGGTTTTCGTTTTTTTCCAAGAAGGTATATAACAAGAAGCTACTAGGGGCTCCTGGCCTTACTACTAGGAACAAGAAGCTATGAGGTGTTCATTTTTCCCGGTGTGAAGGATCGGAAGGCCCGACCGAAAGGGTCCGTGTTCGACCAACCGACCAAACGGGTCCGTGTCCGAACAAACCGTGAGAGGTCTCTGGACGTGGAGACGACATCGACCACGGTCGATGACGTGTGAGACTGGCGCACCGATTCACCACTTCCTTCGAACGGACACCAATTCACCAGATTTGACTCATTAAGATGGAAGTGGAGGCTGGCCTCCTGTTTAGTGTTCCATCCAGGTAACAAGAAGCTACGAACGGGGCTCCTGGCATCGCTACGAACGGAGCGATCAGACGCTACTAGCAAAAAAGCCTGATTGATGTGTTCGTCATGTCGTGTTCCATCCGGTGCCACTCACTGCTCCTCTGTGTGACCGTCCGCTCGGTGCGCCGCGTCGAGGTCAACGGCCCTGGCCGCTCGGTGGCACCATCGTCACACCACAACGTGTCGTCGTGTCGTCGTGTGTTGTTGCTATGTTGGGTCGGGTCTTTCTTTCCGTTTATACGCCCGAAAGACAAGAAGATCCATTTGAATTGGTATGAACATGTATGAACTAGTTCCTAAAGTTGATCCACCATAACTTTTCTGAAGTTGAAATCACCACAAAGCATCGCTTTGAATCTCCAAGTCCGTCTTTTTTGCACTTCCAAGTCTCAAAGCGTTGCAAACAGCGCCGTTCAAGAACTCGCAGACCGTGGTGTGAAGCGAAGATTCTAACTGGACATTCCTTGAACTGCTTGCATTTGCTTTGCTGTGTTGGGGGCTATGGGAGACGGTGGAGACTGTGTTTTGGTGTGTATGTTTGTTCGCAGCCGCAAAGACGGCCAGAGGGCACCTAGTATGATACCAAAGCAATCCAAACCAAATTGTGGCACCATCAAAGAAACAAACGTATGGTACAATCGAAACGGATCAAAGAAACGAACGATAGAGTCTATCGATAGACGAAAAACCACAATTGGTGGGGATGAGGGTACTTAAGCTGCACGTGCCAAGCTTGGGCTTTGGAGGTAAAAAGACCTTCCAAAAGGACAGGAACAAGCGGCTTTTGGAGCTGCACATTCCTCAAACTCTTGGCGAGCCCTTTTTTCCTGAGAGGAGTTGACCTGAAAAAAGCATTCGATGATTTCGCAGGACGATCGGCAGCTATTTTGAGTTGCACGGTTCTGTCGCACCACCCAGTTCACCCCCTTACGCGCGACACAAGAACCCAGTATTGACCATGTCTCAGCTTTTCAGGTGTATTTTGCTGGAGAATTATTGTTTTCACTTAGTGTAGAAAAAGATACCCGATATCCTACGATTTACTGCAGCTGCAGTATGCTGCTGTATGAGAGCTATAACAGACAAGGCCTTGCATTGGACCCCCGAACCAACCAGTTGTAGTGTACGTTTCGCGAAACCGGAGATTTGTGGGGTGTCTCCCTTCCGTTTCGACATACAACACCGAACACATCGCTGGACTTGACCACGGAAGCCCAAAACCGAAGCCGAAAGCCAGGAGCGCCTTCAAACGTGGAACACAAATCATCGTGCTGCTGCCCGGCATCTCGGGACCCGACCAAACGGGAAGCCAAACCAGCGACGGGGGGCGGGCCTGGGTCGGTCGGTCCGAGAAGTCGCGGGCCTCGGAGCCGGCCGATCCGATTTCAATGAGGAGATATACGACCAGGGCCCCCTGTTGGTGGTTCATGTGGTTAATGGATACCCCTTAATATTAACCTCCTCTAAGGAGCTATAATTAGACAGTCGTGGCCCGGGGGCTCTGGTAGTAGAACACTCCCGTAAGAATGTCCCCTTGACTGGCGCCATTTTGGAAAGCCAGGGGATGTCGGGGCGTATTTTCCACTCACAGCAAGCGTGGATGCCAAGCGCTTTCGAAGCCACTCGTAACGAAAGTGGTGCATGTCACGGAAGACCAAACCAGGCAGCTCCTAGTAGCGTCCTTGCTCCTAGTAGCGATGCCAGGAGCCCCTAGTAGCTTCTTGTTACTACTAGTAAGGCACTTTGTTACTAGTAGCGATGCACTTGTTTTTACTAGCTCTGGGGTATATGGGTCTCCACGTCAGAATGAGGCGCCTTTGCTCAAGGTCTGGGCGCGGAAAACCGTGGCGAAAGGAAACCGCCAACTGTCGTTTGGGCTTGGTGTCCTCAGGAAATGATGAACTCTGCCCATCCATCGAACCTTTCGTGGTGTGGCACCCTGCTAAAAGGCCATGCATGGACTGGCAGATTTGGCTGATAGTGACCTTCTTTATATGGTCAGTCATCATATGTCATAATTAGTCATATAAGGACGTAACAAGAAGCTATTAGGAACAAGTGCATCGCTTCTAGTAACAAGTGCCTTACTAGTAGTAACAAGAAGCTATTAGTAAATACTTCAAACAAAAAAGATTAACATGGGCACCATTCACTCCGGTCACCGTCACCCATCCATTCGTCTAGTCGTCTACCAGGTGGGCAGCCTCGGTGGTTTGGGCCATCGCCCGGGCCGTGCTGAACGTGTGTCCGGGACGCCCAGCGGAGCGACCGGTGAACACCGGGAGAACCCAGGTGACCCAGTGGAGGTGGCGGACGGTCGGAATCTCGAGAGGTCTAAAAGGAGCTAAGACTTGTACCATTTTGCACCCTAAGATGACATGTAGAGTAGACACGTAGGCAGCCTGTATCAAGCTGTTCCCTTTCTTTTTCCGGTGATGTTACCGCAGATGGTTGTGCCACATCAACCCCCCATGTCCCCTAACCTTTGTGCTTCATCCTCCCGTCACCTTGTTGCACCGATACCCTCGCACAGTTTTGCACCGCTGCAGATGACGCCTATGTCGAGCACAAACACACCCAGACGACGGCGCAGCAGGAGCGCTTCTGGATGGGCAGGTCACGATGGTTCCCCAACCTTCTTAAGCAAGTTGCTGGTCCCAGATGTGAAGTTGAAGGTTTCAAACACATTTGGATGAGACCAGTGGCCTCATGTGTTCGATTCCGAATTGCGAGCCAAGAGCGAAAACCGATCTGCTGTCGTGTGCAGTCAGTTCGTGTCAGCCAAAGGCCTCATGTTTTCGGTCCCAAAGCAACCTCACGTCTCCTTTCTTCCTCTTACAGGTAGATAAAGTTAAACATCAACCTCCCATTGAAACGTTCCACTATAGTGAGAAAAATAAAACAATGTTTCCATTGGGTTTGTTTGATTACGAAAGCCAGCCTTCGTAGAAGGCGCTAGCGGAGTTGTGTCTGGCAAACGAAGTGAGTAGTTAGGGGGTCTGGGGGGGTGGCCCGAGAAAGGTACACGTCAACTCGGCACATGCTGGGGGAGGAGGGTGCTCCGAGGGAAGGTTTTTTGAGGTTGTGTTGGAGGTGATTTTTGAGGGGTGGTGATGCAAGAAATGCCAAATGCATCATTTGCATCATCTGAATGGAAAGGTGTCGTTGGCACCTTGCAAGGTATAGAGACCTAGGGTGCCATAGTGCAGCTACCAGGTATAGTACTTCAAGTTCCCTTTCCGTCAACCGCTTGAGAACCTCTACACACGCACAGCAATCCACAGCTTTGAAGTCTCATTCGTGCTTTGAACTTGTATAGGTGTGTAAGAGGTATAGCAACATAGTATTTATACGGACCCAGGGTAGCTACAAGTAGCTACAGTTCTGTTCCCGGGTATGGCGCGCATGAGGCTTCAAAGCTGTGGTTTTCAAGCTAAATTCAAGGTGGCCTGAGACCAGGGTTTGCTGCCCTAAAACACTCTGTTCAGGCCACCTTGAAAATAAAGGTGTAGTTGGCACCTTGCCAGGTATAGACACCCAGGGTAGCTATGTAGCTGTGGTTTTCAAGCTAAATTCAAGGTGGCCTGAGACCACGGTTTGCTGCACTAAAACACTCTGTTCAGGCCACCTTGAAAATAAAGGTCTTGTAGCTACAATTCTGTTCCCAGGTATGGCGCGCATGAGGCTTCAAAGCTGTGGTTTTCAAGCTAAATTCAAGGTGGCCTGAGACCAGGGTTTGCTGCCCTAAAACACTCTGTGCAGGCCACCTTGAAAATAAAGGTGTAGTTGGCACCTTGCCAGGTATAGAGACCCAGGGTAGCTATGTAGCTGTGGTTTTCAAGCTAAATTCAAGGTGGCCTGAGACCACGGTTTGCTGCCCTGAAACACTCTGTTCAGGCCACCTTGAAAATAGAGGTGTGTATGGCACCTTGCTTGCAGCTACCAGGTATAGTACTTCGAGTTCCCTTTCCGTCAACCGCTCGATAGCCTCTACACACGCGCAGCAATCCACAGCTTTGAAGTCTCATTCGTGCTTTGAACTTGTGTAGGTGTGTAAGAGGTATAGCAACATAGTATTTATACGGACCCAGGCTAGCTTCAGAGCAACATGCAAACGACTATAGGATTAAAACTAAACTAAATAAGCCACCTGCCTGACCTTAGTTTTGGGCACGTTCAAGAGCTGGATTCAATCTTGTGGGCATGCTTCTGCTTGCACCAGAGTGGTCGACTGTGGACACCTGAAGGGGACTCAGGTGAGGATTTGGAAGGTCAGTCAAGGGTCCATATGCAATATGTTTCCATAATCCAACCCTTAGGGTTTATAGGCGGTATGTCTAGGTGCACACTCCCCGAAATAAGCATAGAAGTGGATGGCATAGCCCCAACAGGTGGTTTTCCACTTCTATGATTGGTTCAATCGGTGTACACAGTGTACCCCTTGGACTTTTTGGTATCTCCATTGCTCACTGGCCATTTCTGAAGGTCTATCACACTTGTGGGTGCAATGATGAACCGGTGATGTCAATTATCGAGCACCCAGCAATAGTTTGTGAAAACCAGACCATAGGTAGGGTCATGCTCAACCTTAGTGGATCAGATCCAGTGTCAACCTGTAAAGCAAGTCCCGTTCATGTGGCCATGCTGCACTTCCCACAGTGAGACCTCCCATTCCATGTCCAACCGGACATTTTTGAAACTAATTCAAACCAAAATTGTAGTTCCTGTAACTCTTGACCTTTGCTCCAAGCATGTTACATTTGACGTTCAGTCCATTTCAGCTCAGTGTTTCAGAGGTGTTTCTTTTTTGGATCAAGGAATCAAGCCATGGACAATGAGTAAAGCAAGCTGGGGTGCTCTTGATGTGCAACACAGTGGATGCAGTGTACCATCCAAACCCCCCCCTGTGCAGAGGAAATTTCCGGGCAAAATGACACCGAATCCCTCAATTGCCAGGAAGCGCAGGTTTTTGTTTTGACATGGTTACCTCTGTGTGGGCAGAACAAGACATGAAGCAGATTTGACACGCGGCCGCAAGCAGCTGCGCGAGCTCATTTGCTTGCTTCGACGCGCAGTTGTCGAGAAAGGGAAGCGCTGGCTTTCGTTTTGCAGCTTCTCAGGTTGAGTATAGAGATGTGTTTTGTCTTATTTCGCCACAAATGAAGGATGCTTCAACGGATACTACGGGACGACGATTCGAGAATCCGGTCGATCAGAGGAGATTCTGCGGCCCCAACTGACCCAGAGCCTTTGCGAAGGCGGCAGCGGAGGAGTTTCGTCTTGGATATGGTTGAGTTGGAGGGCGGAGAGCCAAAGAGTTTTTACCTGTCAGTTTGGTGGTGAATGGGATAGTGACGTTCTTCTCATGAGTGTTTCACTATGGCACTTGAAAGAGAACTTTTTCGAACACCATCGAAAACCGCCATCGAGACAAGGCTGAAGGATGCCTGTCATATGCTGGTGATCATGATTTCCGTGGGTCCCACTAGTCAGTGTTTGGGGTCTCTCATTACTTTGGGGAGTGCTGAGCACTACCCCAACGGTTTGGTGTCAAAAAGGATGCTGGGGCCACAAAAAGGTGGTTTATGTTCAATGCGCAAATCCCAACAAAAAGAAAAAAGAAACGCTGTGTGCTCAGGCTATAGACGTAGTTCAATTATGTGCAGTTTCTTTCGTTCTTTCCAAATCCCACAAAGTTCCGTAAAATTCGTTGGTCGCCAATCCCATCACGTCCATGCAGTTCACCCGTGAAATAGCCTTCTTCCGTGTGAAATGCACTCCAGACTTGCCGAGGTCTTCCACCGGGACGGCAGAAAACACGTGGACTTCCAAAAGGTGGTTGTTAAGAGACTGTTTAGGATGACGGTTTAGGATCACGGCTTTGTGCCAAAAATGGTGAAAAGGTCCGAAAAATAACCCCCCTTCATTGTCAACTCTCATCCTTTCCATTGAATTCTCTTGGGAGGTGCAACAAAAAGACTCGTTGAACGTAGCAGTATCACACCTGCCACGCCGCGAATGCACGCGGTTCACGCCTTTTTTTCCGCAAGGCATCGACGAGGAACTACGCAGCAAGCAGATCCTGCAGCAGCTTGGCACGGTTTCGATCTTCAGGAGACTGTCCACCCTGTGGCCTGAACGACGAAACCTAAGAAAGAACCGGAGAAGCCGGGGTTTGAATGAGTTTTGTGTGTTGGTGGTTCCGAACTTGAAGCATGTTGCTTTTCCAAGCAGAGGGCCAAACCACCTGTGATCTGTAAAATTCGAAGCAGAAGAGGCAGATGTGTCATGATGGTTGGGCGTCGGCAATCAACCACTTGCTAAAAGAAGAGGAAACTACTACTCCTCCACGGGATCTCTGTATAGGATCCTTTATAATTTGTGTGATGTTTTGTGAGGCTAGGCCTTCCAGTCTCCTTCTTTAGGAGAAAGAATGGTGTCGACTCCATTTCTGGCCTGAAAACGACTGGGGTTGGTCAAGAGGAGTACATGAACCTCGCCTTCCGCTCGACGCGGCGGCGATCGGCGCGCAGAGTTCGGCGGTTCGGTTCGGCGACGAAGGATCGGCGCTTGGTATCCCAAGCACTTGGACGAGAATGTGTCGGCCAAAAGCGGCATTGAGAGATCTTACTTCCACAAAGAGCAATACTTGGAATTTTTAAAGGATGGGCTTAATAGTGGGCATTCAGAATCCACTTTGGATAGAAACCCAAAACAGATGGAGGGGTGTTTGTGGGTCCCAACTCGGACCACATGTCCTTCCAGTTTGAGCCTGGACATTTGCCCCATCACTCGGACCACATGATGGGCACCCAGGAAGGACTGACGAGGTCGCAAGACGAGGGTGTTTTGGGGCGGAACGATTGGGGCGGTGATTGCAATGGTTCCAACTGGCTTCTTGTTCCTAGTAAGGCCAGGAGCGCCCCGTTCGGTTCGCGTCCTTTCTCGCTCCGTTCGTAGCGAGGCCCCTTGTTACGTTCGTAGCTTCTTGTTCCTAGTAGTAAGGCCAGGAGCCCCTAGTAGCGTCCTTGCTCCTAGTAGCGATGCCAGGAGCCCCTAGTAGCTTCTTGTTACTACTAGTAAGGCACTTGTTACTAGTAGCGATGCACTTGTTTCTACTAGCTTCTTGTTCCAAGAGTGGTTCCAAGGTCACTCAGGTCACACGGTTCCAAGTTCCAAGTGGTTCCGGTGCAAGCTCGTTCCAGAAGACCCACAAGGAGGGTCCCCGAAGATGCCAACTCATCCAAGTGGCATATTGAACTCATCTGGACCTGGATCCTGTTCCAAGGGCATGGGCTACTAGTAACAAGTGCATTACTACTAGTAGCAAGAAGCTACTAGTAACAAGTGCCCTTGTTACTAGTAGCGATGCCCTTGTTACTACTAGCTTCTTGCTACTATAGTAGTAATGCCAGGAGCTACTATATAGTAGCTTCTTGTGACTAGTAGTGCCCTTTGCTCCGCTCGTAGCTAAACCAGCTAAACCAGCATTGGCCAGCTGATTCGCTCCTCTTCGCTCCTCGAATCGTCGCTTTTCGGATGCTTCGCCCAGATGGATGGACCGTCGCGGTCGCCAGGCGGGGCCACGCGCGTGGTCGTGCGACGGTTCGGGCGACGGCTCGCGGGCGACGGCTCGGTGCCCTGAATCCAGTTGTGGGATGGAAAATGAATGGGAAATGGACATGAAATGGAATTTAGGTCAAAAGTTTGGGGGAACATGAATTGTGGGGGATATCGTGGGTTGTGTCCTGGTCGCAGTCGAGGGCGGAGGGGGTTTATGAGGTGCTAGTTGCTCGTGTGGAAGTAGGACCCGATGCATAACTTTGGAAGGCCACACCTACAAGATATCACAGCAACTAAGCGATCATAGTAACTAAGCTTGTGGTGAGGCGCCCTTTAGTTTCAGACAAGCGCAAAGGTGCTTACGATTCATTGCATAGGGGTTCTCCATACCATTCTTCCTGCTGCTCCCAGACATAGTCAAGCCAGTGGTCAAGCCATACCGCCAGTATGAAGCAGTATGGGTTGTTAAGTATGGTTTCCCACCAGATCTGGGCAGAATGATCGACATGGAGCCACTCACCAAACCCCTCGAACCGCAAAATCCCATGTCCTTTGAACCGTTGAAACATTTGGGCCATCCCAGCAGCCAATTATTTGCGTGGTGGTTTCAGATATGTTTTATGATGGCACCATCATCATCACCATCATCACCATCATCCCATCAACACCACACCCATGGAACATGCTTCCTCACTGTTTTCATGCACCCCATCAACCTGTACGGACGATTGATCCCGGTTGGTTCGTTCGGCGATCGAAGTGTGCGCAGGGCCGAGTGCTGGATCACGGCTGTGGATGGTGCCTTCGGTGGAAGCTTACGGATCGAAACCTTCCCCAAAGAGCCAAAGTGGCAGGGTGAATCTCCCCGAGTTTGCACCAGTTTGGGAGCCTGCAGGCTCCTTCCACAAAAGCAACTCTTTCGGATGAACTTGATCGGATGATATGGCGTTGAAGCAGTGGCCTTCCCCTCCTTTTTGCCTTCCGAAGCTATGCGTAGTGGTGGATACCGGACATGATCACTCCGGTGTACTTGCTCTCTCATGACTTTGTGATGAGCTCCTGGAGGCTGCTTCAGGTTTGGTGAGGTTGTGATGCAGGACACGCGAATGAACGAACGGACACGGTCGGACTTTTAACACTTTCGGATTATTCTGATTCGAGGTTTGAGCTGGTTAAACCGCCTTATATACATTTCTTAGGTGTTCATATCTATCCAGGTCGGCGGCCGCTTTCAGATCGAACGAACCATCTCCCGAGAGTGTGTGTGGATGTCATTGGGTCAACCCCATTGTTTGATGACTCTGCGGTATTCGATCCACAAAATTCTCCCACAACATGACGAATCCGACCTTTTCTCCGGCCCAGTAGCAGATTACAAGAAGCATGGATATATGGGCCCGTTGATAGTCTTGACAATTGACTCAACCGTGGAAAATTGGCAAAGGCCCGTTCACTTCAACATCGAGGCTGGAAGAGAAACCTCAGGCTGTCACATCGATGTGCGTCCAGATTTTCGTTGATGTCTTCCTTTTCCTGCGGGCTTTTTCCGACTGGCCCGTTCCCCTTCACCGGGCTTCGTTTGGGCAAAACGAACACGGAGGAGCGAGGACATTCCGTACGAACCGCCCGAGGCAACGAGCGCAGCAGGTGGCTTTGCAGGCGATGTGTGGGACCGTCCATGTCGCGTGGTTGGGAAACGGGACAAGGTACGGGATTCGGAAACAGGAGAAACGACTTAACTTGGTTTAGAGGTTCCATTTCTTCAAGAATGTTGGCAGTTTGGAAGGTTGATGTGAGTTGTTGTTGGTGGCATGTGGTGGCTTCTTTTTGGATAAGGTAGTCTACCGTGCTTTGATACCGAAACCCACCGAGCGACTTTCCCGCCAAGTGTAACGTTTTGTAGCCTGAAGCTGCCGAACTTTTCAGGTCTGCAGAAACGCCAGAAAGTAGATAAAGTAGGTGTTTTGGAGGACGAACGAAGCAGTTGTAGAGGTAAAGCAATTTCTTGGTCAAGGGTCTCTCGTCTCTCCCCCATGACCCTGGTCCGATTTTGCAAAAGCAGAGTGAACACCTTTTGAAAACCCAGCAGACATCGGCAAACCATCTCCTGAAAGGGCAACCATCGTCGGGTGCCATGGAGTCTGAAGCCCGCGAGTCTTCGCGGCACACCACGAAGCCAGGAAACGCTCGATTTACTACGAACCGTCAATAAAACGTTTATGGACCCACTCCTGCAGCACAAGATTTGGAATTGGTTTCCCAATTTGTGCGGTATCTGCGCAGGCCTCCATTCATGAACCAGTTTGGAATTCGAAGAGCCTGTGATCTCTAGCCTTTTGTGACTTGACCACATAAGGACAATTTCCTCCCATGCACTGGTGTCAGCGATGACAACACGTGTTCGTCAAAGTATGCAGCTAGTTCTTTGTTCCAAGCCCGACGGAATTGTTAATATATACACTCCCTGGAATCATCATGGAAGTGGATAACATGGCCCCAAAAAGGATGATGATTGGCGTGATTGGTTCCTTTACTTGGTTTCCACTGATGATTCCAGGGAATGTAGAAGGGTAGGTAGTTAGGTAGTTTTCCAAAACACATGATGTGTCTCTTGGCTCAATGGTTACACATTGGTGGGCACGGCTTTTCACACCTCCCACTTGCAAGCTCAAGAGTAGGTGCTTCTCATCTTGGTTTGCATCCCCAGTGGTACTCCTCCAACAACCCTATGCATACGAGAAAAGAACGTGCTCACCAATTGCTGAGTTGAAACAACCTGTTTACATCCTGCTCGATGCCAGTGCGACGAGCGTGCCACGTGCATGGCAGCCATCCTGGCACCAGGCGCGAAGACCGGACAGTTTGGGCAAACAAAGTTTCTGGACACCTGCGATCCATGTTTCTAGCAGGTTGGAGGCCAAGGCTATCAGGGTGGAAGCCCTCGCTATCAGGGTGGAGGCGACAGCTCTTAAATTGGAGGCCATCGCTACTAGGGTCCCCTGCTTCCTTCCATTTGGTTTCCCTCCATCTTTCTCTCTACGACGCAACGAAGCTGGAGAATAGTTCGGCATTGATGTCCCGTTGGTCAATGTGGTCAAACAACCGGGTGCCTCGGCATCTGACACGTTGAACTTCAACCAATGGTAGACCATGTAAAGAAGCTTCCCTGCCCTACTGCACCCCACGTTACTCGACATGGAAGTGGATGGCACCCCCCTGTTTGCAGAGGAAAATGATCTTCCTTGCGGAGCCATGTTAGTTCCAGGGAGTGCAGAGTCTTTGTCATGTTGATTGAATGACTCCACAGCAACTGACTTCGACGTTTACTGCTGCAGACCGGCTGCACAGTTGAAGCATGAAGCCCCCCCACTTTCTTTCCAGATGGAGTTCTTCAAAGGAGCGCTTCTGGCAGGCATGTGCATGGTTCCCATCACTGCTATGATAGAAAGAACCTAAGATCCTTCCCTAAGGGACATCCGGCATCGATTCTCAAAAATTCCGGAGCATTTCAGGCATCGCTACGAACGGAACAAAGGCACTTGTTTCTAATAGCTTCTTGTTACTACTAGTAAGGCACTTGTTACAGTAGCGATGCACTTGTTTCTAATAGCTTCTTGTTACTACTAGTAAGGCCCTTGCTCCTAGTAGCGATGCACTTGTTCCTAGTAGCGATTCTCAAACACCTGAAATCCGGGATCGTTCGCACCCAAGTCCAAACCGGTCGTTCCTTCCGTCAGGTGGCCGGAGCGTGCGCGTGTGCCGGGCGGAGGGGTCGAGGACAGGGGTCGCGACCAAAGGGGCGGCCGGGTGGAAGTCACCTCCAACCGGAATGGCCTCCACCCTAGGAGCGATGGCCTCCAAGCTACTATGTTCAAAAGTGTCTTTAAATGACCCAAAAAGGACTGAACGGATGGTCCATTCATTGAAGGAGACATCGCACCAATCTGACAAGTTCCCGACTTCTTGGGTAGGATTGAGTTCATAGATCTGATTCTTTGGGAGTTGATTTGGTTTTTCAAGTTATCCTGTTTGTATCAAGTGTTCATCCTTCAAAATGGATAGCTGCACAAAATTAGCAGGTCGGGTCACTTGAAAGGCACACAGTCCTCGTGTTCCGTGGAAAAGATTGCAGGGTAGAGGACCATTTTCAGGATTACAGAGGATTACTATACTATTAGCATCTAATGCCAGGAGCGCCCCTAGCTTCTGGAGCTACTAGCCATGCACCTTGCTACAGTAGCGAACCTCTGGACTCCTTCGGGGCAAAAGAACCACTGGGAAGTTCATGAACCGCGACTGAGTTGGGCACAATGGCCGACAGCAGTGTTGCTTTGCCCTTGACAACAGATGAGTAGATGAGCACGTTGTACTGACAACACCGCAACTGACACTGGCTTGGTCAAGTTAGAGCAAGACGCCACCACAGGTGTGTCAACTCGCCAGTGTTTTCTCTCATGTATTAGAGAGTCCAGGTGGTGCAGGAGAACTCTTCCATGAGGAAGTCAACTGGTCATTTCCCAGTTTTTAACCTATATTGCGTCCCAAAGGTCCTGGCCGTGACCGCCATTTTTTGTCTCCTTTGTGGTTCAACTGAAGGAGCGTTCTCACCTTGACTCCGATGGCCAATTGGCCTTTAGCGTGCAGACCTCAGAAGTGGCTCTGCCCAGTACCTCCCAACCCCCGGGCGAATCGTCGACTTCATCCCATCCCAACGGAGCGGAACCATCGTCACCGATGATCGTCGAAGGCATACGTTTTCCCCATCGAGCAGTGCATCATGGGAGGTCACTAGAATGGATGGTTGGTCGGTGTGCCAAAATCAACCATTGGGTGATGTGGGAATGTGTGTTTCCATGCCAACACAAGGGTGTGTGTTTTTCCCAAACATCCACCTTTTGAGCGAGTGCTGGGTCTTGGAAGACATGGGGTAAAAAGGGATTGAAAGGTTTGATATAGGCTTCCCCAAAGAGAAGGAAAAGGAATCGCATGCATCTTCTGGTTTGTGGTTTGGAGGGAGATGGAGGGAGCAGAGCAAACTTGGCATCGCATTCCCCCTTGGAAAAAGGGAAAGCCCCTTTCGACAAGGAGGTGCATAAGCACGCAGCCAAGCGGAGGACTCCCTGTCATACAGGGTTGGTGGATACGGGTTGCCTACGGTTGCCTATGTTCCCCTGTTGCCGGGTGGACTTGGTGTGTCATTGTGTCACCCCTCTCTCCATGAAAAACAACGCCAGGAGACCTCGACTGGATGGAAATCGGAAGCTACAACAATACACCGAAGCTGCTTCTCAACAAAATTCTCACTAGGAGGGGCACCAATTATCACCAATTCCTGATTGGACTTTCGGTACCCGCTTCCACAAGGGGGTCAAGGGGCTGTTAAGCCGCGAGCATGACCGCAAGTTGAATCGTCATGTCAGGAGTAGGGGGAGGAGGTTGATGTTGGATAAGCCAACGCTGGTCATCAATTGAAATAATTCCTGGTTGAACCTCATGATGCACTGGATCGGATATTCACCAACCGATTACGCAATCTGCGTCTCTTCACGTGTCAAGCTGCTGCGTGCGCAGTGCTGCCGCACTGCCCCACGCTGATCATAGACCCAGCCAGTCACGGAAGATGGAGCACAGAAGCGATGAACATCTTTCTGGACGCTACGAACGGGGCTCCTGGCATCGCTACTAGGAACAAGAAGCTATTAGGAACAAGTGCATCGCTTCTAGTAACAAGTGCCTTACTACTAGGAGCAAGGATGCTACAAACGGGGCTCCTGGCCTTACTAGGAACAAGGACGCGAACCGAACGGAGCAGTCGTTCGCCAAGCGCGAAATGTTCCTACCTCGGATCGGTCAGGAATGCTATTCTGGTGCAGTATGCACATTCTGGCCTGCAACAGAGAACGGGTCAATACTCCTGATCAGTGCATAATTTCTCCACATAATAGTGAATTGCAACGGGATTTTCTCAAAGTCTTTCAAGCGATTATCAGATGTTTCACCGACCACTATTGGAAGATTCTTTTCCACAATCTACCACAAATCCATTAAAAATAAACAAAAAAAACACTATTTGGACTCCATGCCACTCCATGACACTTGGCCAAGGGAGTGCCGAACCGCACGTGTCGAAAGATCGTCACACAACAGACACCGACAGCGACGCGTGGAGAGAGCGATCGCCATGTAGCCATGGGTGCCAGACAGCTGCGTCGAGGTGGAGCCTTTCTTCGTCGGCCTCGGCTTCGGCTTCGCGGGGTTGGTTTTCATGGCGTGCCGTTCTAAGAACACTGTTTTCATGGCGTCCTTGCTCCTAGTAGCAATGCCCTTTGCTCCTAGTAGCTTCTTGCTACTAGTAGTAAGGCCAGGAGCCCGTAGAAGCGTCCTCGCTCCTAGTAGCTTCTTGCTCCTAGAAGTGGTAAAGGGGAACTATGCCCTTTGTTCCTAATAGCTAACATTGTTCCAGTAGTAAGGCCAGGGTCGCCCCGTTCAGTTCGCGTGTTCGGTTCGCGATGCCATCTGTTTCAGGGAATCCCATGGAAGTTGAACCGGTCCCAGCGCGCGGGGTGGGTGGCTGCCATAATTCTACTCGAAGTCGTGAGGGAATTGAGGAAGTGAGACAGCAGACATGCAGATGAGAACCCAAAAACGGCACCGACATGTTTTAAAGAAACTGGTCAACCCCAGCAGTACATGTCAGGGTTAGTTGCATAGACAAGTTGCAGACGGTGTCCTTTGACCATCTCCGTGTTTTCAGTTGTTCTCCGCGGTCTTTGGGGTCTTTAGGGGAATCGACTGAGGGGCAGAATGGAATATCGCGAGTCTCTGAACTCACCATGAAGTTGACACCATTGCGGAGAGGGACGAAACACAGATGCCGAAGCAGAGATCCATTTGTACAGAAGAAACAGAAGAGCTCCATTTCAGCAGATTCACCACAGAAACACCTCAGGATAAAGAGCTGTACAGATGGAGATTCTTCTCTTTCTGTCGAGCAGGGGTGGGCTCCATTCTTACAGCCATGGTCCAGTGCTCACCCCTCACCCTTGTGGGGAGAAAGAGGTAGACCGGTCCCATTTCCTTCGCATTTCGTCGACCGCGCGGGCGGGGCTCCCCAGGCTTGTCGTGGATCGTCTTCTTCGCACTTCGAGACGCCTTTGCAACTGGGACGCAACGGCCGGGTCCGGTGCGGGATGGATGTCCTCGTCCTCGTTGTGTGCGGATGAAGCGTCAGTTTTTCAAACCCGCTCACTCAAGCAAGCGCGATGGAATTCGGAAAGCCAGGAGTCTCTCACAGGATTTTGGCCCTCAAATGCATCATTTGCATCGCTCAGTGGATTCGTTGGCCGGTTCTACCATGTGCTTCCACCAAGTCACTATAGTGTCGTTGAAAGAAGACAGTTTGCACTGTTTGAGATTGATCAGATCGCAAGACAAGAGGTGCAGAGGCTACTTCTATTGCCAGTTATTGCCCTTTCATGCCCTTTCGCGGTTTCAGCGGAAGACAACTTTCATTTGAGCCTTCCTCGTTGCCTGTGTTCTACTGAACAGGTTGCTTTGCAGAAGATTCGACATACTACAAAATACCATCGTACCAGGATCTAATTGCTTCATATTTCCTTATAGAAGCTCTTGGATTCTGTTCCGGGTTTGAGCCGTGGCATCGATCCAACAAACCAACACATTCTGCATGAACGTGAAGATTGAAGTTTTACGATGACCAGGTACACTTCGTTAGAATCAACTGTTCAGTTTGGCTTTACACACATGTACAAGTGGTTGCAGTGTGTACTACCTCATGGTTTTGTTGCCTTTGAGCAAGCAAGACATGTAGAGGTGCTAAGTATCACCAAGTGCAAATTCAAAGGCAAGAGCAATTCGGGCGTGACTACACTTCCTGTGCTGAATCAATTGAGATTGTGCTGTACACCTGTTGCTTCTCTTGTCTTGACAGGGCATGCTTTTGCTCGACTGAGTCGAGCAGCACCCAGTCGAGCAACTTTCTCCCATCTTTCGACCGTCGAACACCTTCGAAAACAGTCGAGAGAGCCCTACTTGGGGGGTGTGCTGTGTCTTCACGACATATATGTGTCATGTCTTCACGAACACCCATTCAAAAGGCCCCCCAGAGGTGGGTGATGTATGCTTTCTATGTTCGGTGCAGCCACAGCTGGGCGCCCAGGTGCCACGGGGATCACCACGGCCTTTGCGGCCGCTGCGAACCTCGCAGCACGCAGCTTTGTGGGACTGGGCGGTGGACGGTCACTGCGGGGACTGGACCCGTTGGTTCGGGAGGACCCAGCTCTGCATTTGACCAGAACGAGCTGGGTCGGGAACAAATATGCTTAAAATTGATCTCAAATGGTTTGTTTGGGATAATCAGAATGTGTGTGTGTGGTGTGTTTGTGTGTGTGTGAAAAAACCCATAGGACATGTCTGATCTCAGGGCCATGAGCATCAAAGGTAGTTGTTTTGTCACCATATCCAGGTGTGACTTTCTCACACCAGACTAACTAACAAAGGAATACAAAGGTTAGGTGCATAAAGGGAGATCCTGTATATATTTATCTTTTCGTGCTTGTCCAGGGGCAGTATGGAAGAGTGTAAGAAGTCTTTCAGCACTTTTAGACTGTAATTAATCAGCTCCTCTGGGTGGTCTGTGTTCTATCCAAAATTCCGGTTTGGAAGAGGCAGGGACCCGGTCGGGGACGCAGGACCTGTCCGACACGGTCCTCAGTCACTGTAACAGATCGACCCTGTTTTGGAGGTCATAGAGCCGAGCCACTGCCAGCGCAGATACCGAAGTACAAAATGCTGGATTGAGGTGTATGTATTCGAATTGATAGACCCCCGCGAATAGAACAAGAGACCTTGCTGAACAACCTCTCTCTCTCTCTCAATGCCACCGACGGGAGTCCACCGAACGACGGTGAGAACGGAACGCCGGTGAGGACGTCCTGCTGCCCAACGAGCCGGTGAACGTGCCGCTGAACACCTCCGCCTTGTCCAACCAGCTCCAGGCGAGAATCGCAAGCCGCACAGAAGCTGCGCACAGTGGAGTTCTTGGAGTGATTTGGAGTGGTTTGGGAAGCTTCAACTGGTGTGGCCCAACTTTGTAGCTAACAAAGGTGCCTTACTAGTAGCTTAACAAAGGGCATCGCTACTAGTAACAAGGTGGATGAATCTATAAGAATCTGGAGGACTTAGAGCCTGTGGCCCGCCTCCTGGCTGGGCAAGTCAGCCCTGGGTTCGACCTTGTGGGTCGAATTTCTTCTCTGAGTGAAGAATTCAGATGGCAACTTTGGTGTTTTCAGGATGCACCTCATTCAGTTGAGTTTCACAAAAACCACACTTTCCCCAGAAATAAAAAAGCTGTGGATTTGCTTATGTTCTGTTCACTTGGCAAGAACTTCTTCTCTTCCAACCCCCTGTGGCTTCCGGCTTTCTGACCGTTTTGAGTGCACGTATACATCCCATAATGTATCCTATATACACCCCAATACGGATGTATCAAGTGGCTGCCCTAATAGTTACATGACACATGAAGCCATCCAGAGTGGACCCAGGTGATCTAGAAAGCTTAGTACAAAACGCCAAGGACCAGTCCAGGACTCTTCCAGGACTCTTCCTGGTCCCCTTCGCCACCACCGCAGCTGCGGTGTTTGGGTCGCCCACCACTGGCTTCGCCGCAGCGCCCACACCGCACCGCTCCGTATCGAGGATGTGATCTTCACCGTGAACCAGAAGGGCTGGCCACAAGTGGAGCCTTCGGCAGACGGGTGGATCGTTGGTGGGTGGTGGGTTCGAGTCGACTGCTGGAGTGGTGGGTTCAGACATAGTCCGGGACGACGTGGTTTTAGGGGAGCCATGGGATGTTCAGTGCAAAGCCAAAAAGGTGGGCGGTGGGATGGGTCGACCCTCCAGTGATTTTGGGTCGCGGTGGCCAAGGGAGTCTTCCAAGATTGGAGTCACCGTGCGAAGAAAAAGGGATTCGTCCGGATGGAATCGTCTTCCCGAGTTTCCCAAACTGACACCCCCCCCCCCCCCCCCCCCGCATCGCATCGAGCGGGTTTCTTCCAGCGATGCGAAGTGACGTCGGTCCACACACCACGGTGACCAGGGCCGATAGAGAGGCAGAGTTGACATCGCCACACATGAATTTGTTTAATAACATGGTTGAGGCGAAGGGCGTTGAAAGTAGATGAGGCTCACCAAGATGAGAGTCCTCAACTTGGCATCGGTTCTTAGGATGTGGGGTAGCTAACCACCTACCTTGAGCATCCTCGAGCAGTTTTCCCTAAGAACTGCTGGCAAGATGAGCTACTGGTAGTACCTTCCGACCCAGGGATCCGTCAGCTGATTCTATGTCGATGCACGTGGCAATCAGCTCATCGCGGAAATGGGGTTTCAGCTCGATTCCGCTAGATGTCCGGGTGGAATCCCCCATGAGCTGATGTGTTTTCCCCTGCAAGCTGATCCATGATGATCCATGGGACTTTTTAGACGTCTACTTATAGATATTGAAATGTAGCGGTGGGGCTCCTCCCTATACCACCTGTGATCCCGCTTTCACCGCTTCAGAGGAACATGAGAAAGAAACCGTGAAGGCATGAAACATGGCATCTCCACATCAAAAATGGCAGCTGTTCATCGTTGCTTCTGAGGATATCGACCTACCTCCAGGGCTTCTCCTTGGAGTGGAAGGCCTTCTCCGGTGATCACGGTCTCTCCGGGATCTCTCTCCTCGGTCAGGTGACGCGCCGGACGAACTGGAACCGAAGAAGGAGTTGAGCAAGGCCGGCGGAAGGACGTATGGTCCAGCAGGGTGTCTACCGCAGTGCTTGCAGATGCTCTGACTAATCGTCAGGGTACCTTCTTTATTTCCAGGCCGGAAGTGTCATGTGTTCTGTTCAATATCGTCTTTTGGGGCACAAGGGACAGAGCCCCAAGCACAAAGACTACCAAGCACACTCGGATGAATCATTGAGTCAAAAGCTCCAATTGCCTTCACAGGTTCTATATTGAGTTGGTTCCAGGGTGGGTTTTCATCCACCTGAGACCAACGGCAATTTTTTTCTGTTTCGAAGAAATGCGGACCTTATGAAAAGAACCTATGCTTTTCACAACGCATGCCATGTTCCAAAATGAGTGTGCACATTCTAGTTGATCAAACCCAACCACCCTTCAAGTCACTCTTGAAAAGTTTTGGACACAGCAAGGCTCAGACACGTCAGCGAACGAACCGTTCAAACGAACCGTACCGATGTGTTCGCACACCGTTACGTCTCCACGTCGTTACGTCTCTTGGGTCTCCCCGCAAGTGGCTTGACTGAGCTCCCAATCGAGGGATTCCGTTGATATGACGGCGATTTTAGGCGATGTCAGGAATGGAGCAAGACTGTTGATTGTTCCATATCCATTTATTTGGATCATGTTTCTTTGGTTCGTCACGTTGCACGTTTCATCACTGGTCACATGTCACAAGTTGGATGTTTCGTTGTTTCCTTGTTCTTGATTTGATCTTTCAGGCGGGTTGGGACACGGGACACGGCTTGATTCTGATTGTGCCAATTGTGATTCCGATTTAATTCTGTATAAAACTAATCTATATAAATATATAAATAAATTATAGATCTTCAAATAAATTATATATATATATATTCTTTCTGTTTTCTCGCTCCACTTTGGCGCACAGGAGGAGGAGAAGCAAGGAGACCGAGAACTTGCCGGTGGTTTGGTACCTTGGCACCACTCGCCGGTGTTTCTCATGACCCCTTGAAGTGTTTTCTCATGGTTTCTGAGAAGGGTGAGAACGGGGGTAGTTGGAAGTCCTTTTCTATAGGTGTCTCACCCTGTTCTGTTTTTTAGTCATGTTGGATGCGTCTTTCATTTTGTGCTTGCAGTTGCTTTCATATTGAACCTCCTCGAAGATGCCGGCAGCAGCGGCAACGACATGTTCTTCAGGTTCCGGTCCTTTCTCTGACCAGTGGGTTTTCGTGGGGGGACGAAAGGCAGGAACTTCCCACCGATGAAAAATTCCACCGGTTCCATCAATCCTGCCCTCACACGCACTGTTCCGATGCTTTGCTTGAAAGGCTCCTTGGTTTCCGTCAGGTCTATTCACTCGGAAAGATGAAGCCAAGGAACACACTGTTTTGAGATCTGTGAGTTGAATCCTTCACTTACGTTTTGAAGATTGGATCTTGCACGTGCAAGTGCTTATTTCCTTCTTAGAGATGTAGACCAGCATGTCGACATTGCAAGAAATTTGGACAACTGCCTGCCCCAAAAAAGATCAAGCCCTTGCTGGCATCGGCAGTTTTTTTCAATAGGCTCCCTACCCTGTTGCATGGATTTCTGGGCATTTTCTGGTCAACTGCCACTCCCCTTTGGATCAATGCATCATTGGCCGTACGGTGAAACAATTCATGCCGGACGGTGAAACAGATACAATTCTTCTACGAGTTCAAGAATGCCGTGAACCTGTGCGCTGGGGGCCCCACCGAAGGACGGAAAGAGCGGGGTTTACTGATGTAAATGACTCAGCAGTTGACTCAGCTCTAGCCAACAGTAGCCAAACCAGCCCTGCAACACTCCACTTTGGTGATCCAACTCTATAGCCGTACCATGCCGTACTCACATTGCTACTAGGAGCAAGGAAGCTACTAGGGGCTCCTGGCCGTACTACTAGGAGCAAGTAGCTACTAGTAAGAAGGTTCGCTACTAGGGGCAATATGAGTGTGCCTTCAAACAGTTGTCCATTGGTAGGCCCGGCCAAATGTCGGCCATCTCCACACGGTGCGGGGCGTGGGTCAAAACCAGGCGACCCGTGGCTAGCTGGGTAGATCAAAACCGAACATGAACAGAATAGGTCAACTACCGGGAAGTTCCACCCTGATATCATTTGACCCACAGCATCATTGGGATGGGGTGTGGTTCACAGCCATATCGATGGTGAACTACAATGGCTGTCACCCCATCCATTTTTGTTGTTTGGTCGACTTTTCTCGGAATGGCTTGACAGCTGGTCACTTGCTGGTTTCCTACGACGATCTCCATCAATGGATCCTGAAGCGTCTTGAGTCTGGAGCATGTTTAACAGGTGGAGGTGATTATGCACTGTTCGAAACAAAGGGAGTTATTTTTGTTGGAGACTCCCCAACAAAAGTATAACAGTTTGTCCTATTTTCCAACCAGACTTATCGAATACGTCGCCTGCCACATCTTCTAAGCATCAGACTCCGCTGTTCGCTGTGTGACTCACTCGGGTAGTTCGCGGCCAAGGTCCAAAGGTCGTTTGGTTCCGTCTTGGGGAATTCGATCCCGGATCTTTGGAGAATTTAGAACAAGAAGATGTGGACAGCTCCAACCCATGCGCAGTGGAGGATCTGTGGACGATGTGAACTGGTGACAGAGGAGATGTTAAGCCGTGAAGACTTCAAGACTTTTCGTTTCATCACTTGGAATCCTCATCTACATAGCTCAGGAATGTGTAGGTGCACAGTTTTGCTGTACGAATGCTCAGCTCGTACATGTTTAGTAACAAACGTGGCAATGGAAGCAGTGCATAGTGTTTTGGTCATCGGAGTGTCATCAAAACAAAAAACACCTCAAAGATCATCGAAGAGTCTCAACCCACAATGTCCTTCAAGAGTGTGATTGAACAGTGTCTATCAAGCATGTCAAGGAACGTTTGGCCGTTTGTGCTTGCGGATACCAGAGTGTATTCGGGTTTGTGGGTTCCAGCAGGTTCACCTCGATGTGTCGTTTTGCATTCCTTTGAAAAGGCTTCTCACTGGAGCACCTCAAGAGTCTGATTTTGGGGTTAATCGCAAAGCCCGGTCCCTTCCTGGCCCACTTGCAAGCAAGACCCTCTCTCCAACAATCATGGAAGTGGACATCCTGGCCCCTGGAAGGACCATTCTTCTCCAAGAGGGTGACAACTCCACATCGTCTGTTGCAGGGAGGGTACCATATAGGCTATAACCCCCAACCGGCGTCCGGCCCGGTCAGACAAGGTGCTCTTCCGCAGCCGGGCCCTGGCGACGGATGCCAAAGTCACCTGGGGCGACTACGGGAAGGCGACCGTCCGACGAGTCCACGACGGAAGAGGGCGTTGACGTTGTTCCATGTGGTTCCCGTTGTTTTGAGGATTTGGGGGGGCTGCGGATGCCACAACCAGAAGCTACGTACGGTTGGGAGAATCCTCTCTTTTTGTTAAGAAGGTACGTAGAAACTGTTGCTGCTTGCCAAAGTGGCGATCACAAAAAGTTAACGACTGTGCTATGGGTTTGGTCCACAGATTTGATGAACATACGTGCTGCACTGGTGTTTGTTTGGGTCTTCTGTTCGTAGAGCAGCATAAAAATATATGTAAGCCACGTAACTCCACCGATCTTCGCTATCCCTGGATTCGACTTCGCCCCCTGGCCCTGTGAGAATCCTCTGGGGTGGAGAGGACTCCACTGACCACAGCCCCGCAACCCGATCCGTTCAACGCGTTGCAGGCTCGTGTGATTGGTTTTCCTCCGGCGAGAGTGATGGAGATGGAGGAGCTGAAGACAGGAAAGCTGTGGTATGAATACTCAAGGAAAATTAGACCAGTGAATAAATATATCGAAAATAAACATGTATAATAGAACTCAATGATGAACATGTGTACGCGTTTCGGGTATTTTATTGAACAATGCAAACTTTGCGATGCACATGATGCCTTTTAACCACTATAGGCATCATTGGCATCGTGTGGCTTCGCTCCACGATTGTCACATCCGGACCGACCACAGCTTTGCGAGGAGAGCCAAGCCGTGGCACTGGCGAAGGTGGGAGAGTGGGAGCAGGTCGGCGGGTGACGTGCCACGAAGCCCTAAATCAGGGTGAATCAGATGTGCCACGAAGGAAATCATCTCGGCCTAAAGCGAAGAGGGAATGAGGTTGTCAACTTTGCATCTGGTTCTGATGGGAAGAACTTCAAAGGGTCATGAGGAAGGCACCCGCGTATGAGCCAAGAGGCGTTGGGTGACTGGTCCAACGAGAAACGTTCGGATCTTATCGGACTGGTTTCCAAAGTACTTACACCCTGACAAGCACATCACATGGAAGTGTAAAATGGAACGCTGGAAGACCACTTTCAAAATAGGCCGTTTTACACTTCCATGTGATGTGTTCGTGGGAGTGTAAGAGTGAATTTGTGGTCAAAGAGGAAAGACCCGTGTTAGTGGATTGCCATCCTTGCCACGCTCGTGGGCCTTTTAATGTGCATCCCCTTCAAATCACCCACGGGCCTGAGGTTGAAAAGAGCGACCTCAGAGTTGTGCACCGAGTGTTCTTTTGTTTTCCAGAGAAAAAACACAGTTTCCTCCTTCGTTTCATCCGTTTTCCTCATTCCTCCAACAGTTTTCCACTCTCAACAGTGGATTCGACAAGTCCGTGTCTGTCGCCGAACTTGGCCCGGTAAGACCATCACACCCATCGGCCCGAACTTGGTCTTCCGGATCCCTCTCAGTGGAACCGAAGAAAAAAAACAAACCCTCCCGGGTGCTCGCGATCTGCGCGCTCTGCGCCGCGATCCGCGCCGCGGCAGCTCCTGCGGAATCGGCCCTACGTGGTCGCCGTGGCGCCCAAGGCGCGGCAACTGCGAGCCCTGCAGGACGCTTTTGGGTCCAAGAGTCCCAGTCGGTTGGTGTTTTGCAAAGAAAGCCGGTGGATCAGTCGGTGGTTGTGAAAGTTTAGCAGGGGCATGGTTGCAAGAAGCTACTAGTAGGGCTACTAGTAGGGCATTTCTACTAGGAGCAAGGAAGCTTCTTGTTCCTACTAGTAGCATGGGCACCGACGTTGCTTTTCCATGACTTGAAGGGTTTTACGGCCTCCTTGTTTCTAAGCTTGTAAAAAGCCACCAAGCAGCGTGACTGCTTCCGGCACATGACCCACATGTCCCTCAATTGGTCTGTTTTGTGCGAAAGAGGAGCTGTCAGAAGCGAAAGATGTGAAGATGATGCTGATCCTGCTGAATGTTCGAGGGCCAAGATTTGTGGCTTTTGGGTCAACAGCGAAGTGCGAAGAGTTCCGTGGGTGTGGGTGAGAAGGACTCTCCAACATATAGAACCAGAGATGCAGACCTTCTTGGCGAGCAGTACACCCTCTTTGAGGTTTAAAGGATTATGCGCCAGGATCGTACATGTTTCATGCCTAAATCTTGGGTTTGCAAAGGTTTGCATCAAGCATGGCCCAACGTGGTTGGATTAAGAGGATCATGTTCTTGCAATCTTCCCAATTTATAAACTCTTAGGACGAAACCCTTTGTAGAGAAGGCACATGAGACGTTTGAACGCACGAAGTCATGTTTAGATCGGGAATTGTCAGAAAAAGGGCACTAGGAACAAGGACGGTACTAGGGGCTCCTGGCAATACTACTAGGAGCATTCTTGCTACTAGGAACTGACGAGGACGCTGGTAACAAAGGGGCATCGCTACGAACGGAGCAAATGGAACCCCCTGTCGTCCTGGTCGATTTCTCTCGTCGTGGAATTTCCTTTGGACTTGCCGCATCTCCGGCCTCGCTTCCTGCGACCGAAAAGGCAAGGGTCCGCTGCAGATCCGAGGCGGGCGGGTGGGCGGATGCGGCGCGAGGGCGTCAAATGGATGTCCCACCTGTCTTGTGGACTCACCCACCGGTTGGTGATTCCCAAAAACTATGTCTTGTAAGTCTATATAGGTCTTGCAGGTCTTGCGATCCCCACGTTTCGGATGCTCTCGGACTCGCTTCTCACCGCCATGCCGTCCACGGGTCCGTCTTCTGGACCGGAGGAGAAGTCATAGGTTCCAGCAGTCACAAAGGGGTGCTATCCATGGAGGTTAGGGGTGCCCAGAACATCCAGTCACAAAGGGTGCCCAGAACCCACCCCGAGCTCTGTGACACCTGGTTCGGTGAATTGGTCTCGCCGGAGGTGGACGCTGTAGCTCTCTACGGACGCCTATGTAAGCTCCTGTTTCGCCAGATTGCGGGGGGTTTTCTCGTTATCGGGCGAAGCAGATCACGAATCAACGGATCCAAGTGTATGGTAGAGAAGGTTCTAATGATACCATGCCTTCAAACAAGCGCGTGGGCTTGTGATTCAGGCTTCTTTGGGGTATCAAGAACCGACTGTTTGATGTAGGGGTAGAGTGAAACGTGTGCACACTCTCTCTCTCTCTCTCTCGCTTTTCTTGTTGCCCTTGGCCGCAGGACTGTAAGGACATCCGAAAGGATGTGGCCTTCGCGTCCAACCCGGTGTTCCATGTCTGGGGCGCCTAGGGCCTTGTTTTGTGGCTGGTCTGAAAAATGATGAGTCTGTTTGAAATGATCTCTGTTCTGGCCGTGTTTTGGGGAGGACTCCTGTTCTTGTTTTCCCGACTGCAAAAAACATATGGGTGAGGATCAAATGGGCTGCAAAGAGCAAGTTTGGCTGAGTGTAAAGCCTGTTCAGGTGTGTCCAAACTTAAAGCTCGGCCGTAGGTTGAGGACAACAATTTGCCAAAACCGTGACCAAAACCATAAACCCGTCTTCACAACAGACCCACTCCGCAGTTCGCCATTGGAGTGTGGTTTTACTCGGCCGATGCTGCGCGCCGATTTCTGCGTACGTACATGTGCTCCGCCATGCCGGTATCGCAGGCGGAGGCTACAGGTCAGTACATGTGCTCCCGGAAAATCCAGACACCAGGTTATGAATTCTCAATTCTTCGTCATGTCTCTCGAATGAGCACAACCGCCAAGGTGAGCTTTGTTGGGAAGGGCGAGGCAGAGGTGGGTGCCAATCCTTTTTGTGCTTCACGCCTTGAAGCGAATCTGGTTTGGAAATCCGAAAATCACCAGATGAAGGGGAGGCATCAACCCAACCAGTGCCTTCATCAACCCTACACCAAGAAGGGGAGGGTTGATGAAGGCACTGGTTGGATTCGATCGAACAGGATTCGAGCCACCGTGCTACAATTACAACCCGCAATCGCACCCAATCGACCAATGAAGAGTACCACAAGAATCGTTAGACCCACCTGTTACACCATGATGTCAGGTTGTGGATGAGACTAACATGGACACTAAGCATGAGAAGATGAGGATATCTATTGGGAAAATGATCCGAGCTTGTGAGAGCTGGATTTGGTGGGACGGGGAAGTGGACGAATCCACTGATGTCGATGTCGATTCATCCTCGAACCTGGTGCCAATCCCAAGATTCCCAGTACACCATTTCTTCTAGTTCAACCTCTGGATCTCCCAACAGCTGTCGTCAACTGCCGTGGAGAAGAGACGACCGTGTTCTACGACTACGTCAGAATGACTGTTTCAGCTCGTTGAACCCCTTTGGATCGACTACCGGGTGACCGAGTGCCACGTCCGCATCCGTCACCCTCGCATGGCCCGTGTTCACGGCATGGCCTCCTCATTCGGGTTCGTCCGATCACTCCGTTCGTAGCAAGGCCAGGAGCCCCTAGCTGCGTTCTTGCTCCTAGTAGCGATGCCCTTTGCTACTAGTATAGCTTCTTGTTACTAGTAGCGGTGCCAGGAGCCCCTAGTAGCTTCTTGCTCCTAGTAGTAAGGCCGGGAGCCTCTAGCAGCGTCCTTGTTCGTCCCTTTCATGGCACTATAGGCCATGTTGTACAAGTCCATCAATACGCCCTGGGTCCTCGTGAGGAGACTGTGCTGTGCTGCGACAGGTAGCGATCGGGGTGATGGTGTTGAATGGTTGGACCATTGATCTTTTTAGAGGATAGACCTTTTTCTCATGTTTTGAAGAAAATGCATCAGGGAATCCAAAAACTTTTGGAGTATGGCTGTCCATACTGGATATGTTCGTGGCTTATCTACTGCAGGATTCTTGTGAGGGCAATGTGCCCACTGACCACTGCTGGACTTGATGACCCTTGTCCAGAGGCCCCAGCGATAGAAAGGGGATCTCCACCCTGAAGAGTTGAATACTGTGTGAAGTGGAGCTGCAAAGGGCCCTATCAGGCCGGGGTTTGGCGGTTGGTGAGGTATGGAGGTCTTGCGGCACAAAATGGTCCATAATGGTTGCTGTCATGTACATTTGGCTCGTTCTGAAGGGAGCTGCTAGTAGTAGCTCAATTTGTGTTATTGGAAGATCCAAGATGGGGGACCGTCAAAGCAAGGCCTCTGCCACAGCTGAGGATTCCTCACTTGAATCCTCAGCTGTCAAGGAACATCTTTGGCAGCGATGTCAGAGGTGGGTGCGCTCAAAGTTCTCGGCAGAGCGCACCGTTGACACCATTGACAAGAAGGTTGGGTACCGCTTGGGTATAAACACCGACCACCACTTGCACGGTGTCACCTTCCATGAACTCAAACTCACGTTCAACCGAGAGACGTATCTCTGTGTGGCACTGTTTGCACTTGCCTTCATGTGGAGAAATCGCCGCCAACCAAAAGCGCTTGTTGCTACAGGGATGCCGACCAAGCGAGGAAGCTTGCAGAGAGTGGGCATTCAAACCCTCGTCCAGCAGCAGCCCCTGGGCAAAGTTCGCGCAAAGTGGTTTGTGGGAGGGACGATGTTCGGCCATTTCATGTGCTTCTGTGCAGAGGAGGTAGAAAAGAGCATAAACAGCAGCGAGGATGAGCCTCCCGAGGATGAGTCTTTGATCAAGGGTTCCAGGCAGGCATCAATAGATGTGAAGGTGGCACCGAAGCTTCATGATTTGATTGCCAGGGATTCAGGCGAAATTGATCTTGGCAGTGTGGAACTTGGAGGTGTTCTTTGGCGCGTCAGTGCGCGACAACGTGACCATCGCGACAAAATAGGCTTCTACTTGAACCACCGGTCAGGCACCCGTGACCAGATTGCTTTCTCGATCAAGATTGTTGAAACACACAATGGGCAAGTGCTCCAAGAGGAGCGACATGAGGGAAACTGGGTGATGCTTCGAGTGCCCCCATTCAACTTCGGCGTTGCTTCGGATGGCAAAGGAGCATGTGTTCGAGCAGCTCAATTGGCCCAGGTTCAATCCTTGCGCATTGAGTTCACAGCACATGGCCCTGCCACCAAGTACAAGAATGCAATCTGATTTGCTTTAGGTTACAGGACCTCACTTGGCCAAGTGGATGGACTTGAAGAAGCGCCTTTATGTAGAAAACATGAAGTCTCTAACTTTGGTTGATAGGGTTGCTTGCCAAGTGAGATAGTGTCTCACAGAGGCTCGTTCCAGATTGCTGCAGATCGCAGCGGGGTCGTAGAAGCACAAGAACTTTCCAGAATCACATAATTTAGCCAACAAGAGCAACAGGCTTCGGCTTCACGGCTAAAAGCAAATTTCGTGCAAATCTGGCCGCGCGGTTGCAGGCACTTTTGTGCGCGCGTGTCCAAAAGTGAGCGCAGGTGAGAAGAGGTTCATGATTCAGTTGTTGGTGTCACAGAACCTTCTTCTTCTTTTTGGGAAGAAGGGATTTCCAAGCTGAGAATCGATCTGGGGCTTGCAGGAGGTCAGATGGCCAAGAACTCTGGCGCGGCGATGAGGAGCCCAGTAAGGAGGCGTGGAGGGGGCCCTGTCTAGGATGTTTGGATGACAAGTGCAGGGGTATCGCGACTGATTGGATGACTGCCCATGGCTGGGTTTCTTCGATCAGTTCGGGCGCGACCAAGTGCACCTGGAAAGTTCAAACCAAAGGCATCGCCGATGGCAGGTGCTGCGGGAGGCAGTCAAGCGCAGTTGACCACAAGCACCAGAGAAAGGGAGGCGCTTGATCACTGGGCTTGCTTGGCAGTGCAGGCAGGACTTCAGAGAAGTCTCGGGCGACTAGAGTGCCCATTCACAGCCTGCAGATTGAGCACGGGTCGAAGTTTGGGACCCTTCTGCAAAGGGAATTCAAAAGAAACAAATATTAATTCCAACACAATTCTATAGGTTATGTAGATGGTATTCATCCTGAAGAACCCATGAGAGGAAAGGCTTCGATGCTGGAACCACAGTAATGTAAACCTCCTCTCTAGTTAATCCGAGCCGACAAAGCCTTGGAAAATTGTCGAAATTTAATGTAGTAGCTAATCTTCCCCTGTACTTGGGCGCTAGGAACCCCCACCAGTCAATGCGAGCCCACACAACCAGGTCAATTTTTATATTATTTACTACAACTACTAATTACAATAATAATAGTTAGTAACAATACGAATACTAATATTAATACCTTTGCAGATTATTCAGGGGAGATGAGTGGTACCTCATACACTGTTGACCTTGTTGACCTTCCATATGGGGGAGTGTTTATTCATCCGGGGGTGTTAAGGTCAACAAGACCAACCCAAATGGCCCTGGTGTAGATTTTGGTCCCCAAAAACATCCTTATCCTTCAAGTCACATGTCAGATTTGGACCCTGCCCAAATCGAACGTGATAACGGCGAAAATTCGGAGCGTCCGGCTGGACCGGGCGACGGCGGCATCGCGAAGCCGCTTCGCCAAGGCCGGGCTTGACGATAAGGGCTCTCGCCCTGCACCTGCCAGGTGCGCAGAAGCGAAATGAAGTGAAGAAACTTTGTTGAGTGTCATTTACCAGGGTCTTGATCCTCTATGCTTTTTGCTCCACAGCCAACGGTATTGAACATCACCTATATGGGTTTGTTGGTCGTTTTAGACGATTGCAGAAATACAGGAGACCAACAGACGCCAGGATGAAGCATGAGTGATTGCAAGCGGTTGCAAACCCACTGACCATCACTGACCTACTTAGATCATCGAAGTTTTTCACAGTCCAGCTTGCAGATGGTTGGTCTAACTGGATGTGCCATTTTGGATGGCCTGAACCAGGGTCGCTTGTTCTCAGTTGACGACGTGACACGACGTGACGACGCGACTCGCCCGCACGACGCAGTCGATCGCGGACTCCGACGGAGTCGACGGATGAAGTGGGACCCCAGACATTTGGTTGAGATGGAAAGGATCGACCCTCCACAGAGCTCATGAAGGGAGATGAAGGTGACATAGGTTGAGGGTTTGGGGGTGGTTTGATGTTCCAAGCTCCTTCGGAACCTAAGCTTCCAGCTATCAGGCCTGTTCAGCTCGCCATCAGACATTCTTCAACTCGGGGCGGTTGCCAATAGAGGGACGACGAGGGCAACACACGCGGGTTTCCTGCGGACTAACGGTGTCGGAGTTGCTCTTTCACTGTTGAATGATGCACGTCTTGACTCTCCAAAGAATGTCCAGCTGGTTGACAGGGCGAGGGCGAGGCAAGCAAGCTATTTTTCGGCTCAATAGCTCGGCTGCGCGCGACTATAGCCAATCGCTCTGCTGTGCGCGCGCGATTTGTTCTCAAAGGGTAGTAAGAAATAGACTTCAGCATATATGTTTGATGAAGACAGCTGTAGCATGTGAGTTTGTGTGTGTGCGCGCCCGCATCTGCAGCATTCACTGCCAGCGGGAAGTCTACAAAGCGATCGTTAGTGTCCTCACGTGTCCTCCTTTAGTCACGTGATTCCACAATAATTTTCTCGTTTTATTGCGGGGGGGGAACCAAGGACACGGAGAAATGGCTACACTAGGGCACTTGCAAAAGAAAGCAGAGCTGGCAGCGAGCCGTGGCAAGAGAAGCCAGGGCATGGCCAAACCCCCACAAACACAGCAGAAATGTGAAGTGCACGTAGTTAAATGTATGGCTATTGGTTTGTATACCTTCCTGCGTGCATCAAAAGCATGTTGACGAGTGACCTTTTCAATACCTAAGTTAAAGAACATTGGGCAAATCACCCGAGAACTGTCAAAAATGTTCACCAACAAAAATATTGTTCACCAAACAAGGTCTTACATGTGGCCATGGTAACCATTTCCATTATTAGTAACGATGGTGTCCGGTCCAGACTCCGCTTGGCTCTTGGGGACAGAGTGGTTACGCGAAAAAATGGCCGATCGACTGGCACTTGTCGTGAACATGGCCCTCACACTGAAAAACCCTACACTGTGTATATCAAAATACCGTGTGGAAACACATGGGTTCCTGTAGTTTGGATTATGTGGTTTTGGAGGAAGAGGAGTTGAGGTTTGGTCTCAATAACGATTGTTCTGTGGGTGCATTCCACAGTTTAACAAACCATAACATTGTATAACATCAAATGTGGATGTTGATCAAACCCTTGCTTCGTTGAGTATTTGGTAGCTCCGATCCCGCCAAGTGTTCCAACCAAAAGCGCTGGCGAAACATGCCAGGTGGGACACCACCTCGCGTCTTCGCACGCACCAAGCAGGCGCCAGCACTCCTCGCGGGTGTCCAGCACTCCTCGTTGCGCACGTGGCGGACATATGTTTGCACTCAAAAGAACCGGTGGTACATATTTTATAAGGAAAAAACCTAGGTGCCCGCAGATTCTTCCCTGTTGAATAAGAAACACTAGAGGTTCCCTGACATTCACCCCCTGACGTCCCCGTGGCGTCTCCATGACGTCCCTCCGAACTTCAATTTATTTATCCTTGGAGAATCGAACGTGACTAGCAATGGCCTCCAACCTAGAAGTTGTCCTTCTTTGAACTTCATTTCAAAACCAATGTTAGCTCAATGAGGCAGTGACTTTATCCCACTGTCGAGAATTGCCAAGACACGTTCCTGAAGTTGTGTTTGGCCTAAAGACATCTTGCGCAGATGGTGCCTGGCACAAGTGATTGTAAGCGTTTTTCACACGAGCCTTCATTGATGCCAAAATTGAATCCAAGAAGTAACACCTCTTCTTTCAAGTCACCCGGCAGTCGGGCCTCAGATGCTTTTTCTTTAAGCGAGATGAACCACGCACGATCTCAATCTTCACGATCCCAATGGATCACGCACGGTTCTTGATCGCCATTTTGTGCACGCAATAACCAACTATTTAGCGATGTGGCTGTCGCGAGACACGTCAGCCACAGCTTTCATTGTGGTGGACGCAGTGGCCGCATATTGCCAAGCAGGGGCGCATGAAGACCCGGCAGGCTTCTTTTTGTGGGTCGACTTGAGCGGATCCGGATGTGCGTTCATTGTCACGGTGGGGGCAGTTCTGGTGCTTGCCGCACCACCACCTTGAGCAGTGGCAGGGCATGCAACGAGCTTGCACATCGCCGCTGGCCGCGGCGACTTGTGCAGATTTTGTTTTAAGAAGCGCCCGATGAATTCACGAAAAGACTTGGGGAAAGCGAAGAGAAGGCCAAGAACGATGGCCTCCAGCCTCCTAATAGCCAGAGACTTGGGGGAAGCGCCTAAGACTTCGATCTTGCAGGCCCGGTTTCTGGCAGATCACTATGTCACTATGCTTTGCAAGTGTGATATATAGTTTTTTCAGCACAAGCTCCATTTGCATTCTTGCTACCTAACCATACATTTACGCTCAAAGTGGGAATCGAAGGTGGCACCTGCCGGCGCAATCGAGGCCCAGCCGGCGCCGGCTGGAACTTGCAACCGTGTTGAACCAGCAGATGGTCATGTGTGTGTGGGTTTTTCTCGCTTCTTTTAGCCCCGGCTGCCAGCCGCCTTGGCATGCGCGCGACGCCCTGTGTCGCCTGTGCGACGTTGAGGAGTCCACCCGAGGATCAAAGAGCATGGCGCACGTGTGTCTCTCACAGGGCCCCTGCCTTGTCCAGCACATCTGGCTGAGGATCGTCGAGTCATGGCTGGTGCAGTGTTGAGTAGTCCACTGGATCTTGATTGGCAGATGCGTTGTTGGCTGAAGGACGGAAGCTTGGATTCATTTTGGGATGTTGCACTTCATGCTTTGTTGCTGCTTGTGCAGTTGGCAACACGTACAGCTGGAGGCCGTGTGAGACGAATTCCGGATCACACCCAGAGACAGCGTCAGATGGACCTCACTTGGACTATCCAGTTGCCTACGGGTCCCCGATCACGAAATCGGGATTTTTCTAGTATCTCCACGCCAATACCCCGGCAGAAAGAACAGGAATGAAGGTTCAATCATGTTCCGGCAAGTAGAAGACTGGCAAAAAACCTGCGGACTGTTCAAGGATGTTGAAAGGTGAAGGGCGCAAAGCACTGGGCCCTTTACACGCATGCTCTGCATGTACGCACGAATTTGCTGCATCCGCCCCAAGGGTTTGCACCTGCCCCATGGGGTTGACGAAGACAGCGAACAAGTTTGCACCTTCAGACTGCGAAGCCGAATCAGAGAATGCGAGACGGCAGTGGAGACGGGGACGAGAAATGGCCTCTAAACCCAATAAGCAAAGGCCTCCAACAGGGACGAGAGAAATGCAAGTTATTCGTGTTGGTCCCTTTCACGGAGACCCGTTGGCCCTGTTGGCCACGAGTGAAACCGCTTCAGACAGAGACCAGGTCGGCATAGTGTGATGCGCACGATGTCGTGATGATACCAACTGTCCCAACTTCCCAAACCCATAGTAACAAGGCATTACTACTAGTGGCAAGAAGTATACTAGTAACAAAGGGCATCGCTACGAACGGAGCAAGGAGGCTACGAACGGGGCTCCTGGCCTTACTACTAGGAGCTTCTTGCTACTAGTAACAAGTGCATCGCTACTATAGTACCAAGGGCATTCCAAAACCCCTCCCACGACCCCCCTTTGTCTCAAACTCGCAGTGAGTCGTCGCCAGGATGCACTGCTCATGCTGGAGCCGAGAGGCCACGAGTTGGCGCCGAACTCGTGCCGGAAGCGCGTGCCGTGACAGAAAGAAGGGAAAGAAGTTCTTCTTCAAAAAGGAAAAAGACCTGTTGCACTGGAGAAAGGAAGAAAGAAACAAGGAAAGAAAGGTCATGAAAGGTCTAAAGAACAGAACGAATCTTGGCTGAGGCTAGTGTAGTAGCGGACGATACGGGTTTTGAGAGTTGAGACCGGTCCAACATGGTCACTTCTTAGCTCGGGTGGAAAAATGCGTCGATTGACCGTTTGCTGGGCAGCTCAACATCAGCGCAATGGTTTACACGTGTTCCATTTGGATTTCCCAACACCAAAAAGACGATGTTTTCTATGCAAGGAGGTGGGTCTCAAATAGTCCAGACATCCTCCCGTACAAAGTCTCAACTGAGTGTTGACCCTGTGGAAGCTGGGGTGGGTGGAGAAGTGCAAGTGTGCGTTGGCAAAATGTTCAAACCAAAAAAACAGTTGACGATCCTTTCCTTTGTCCATGTTCTTTCAACCCATGTATTGTTCGCAGCCAACAAAAGATAACAACCATGCCGTCCAAGCCCAGGGTGCGTGAACACAGGTCCCGGGAATGCAGATTATGCCCCTCACATCCTGAAAAAAGAAAAGGACCGGATAGCCCCACATGTTAAGCTTGTAAGAACTATCAACGAGAAGTAGAGACTGATATGAAAAAAGGACGGAAAGATACTGGACGATAAAAGTGAATGAGATGAGTGGCGTGTGATGAGTGGTGTGTGATGAGTGGCGTGTGATGAGTGTTGTGTGATGAGTGGTGTGTGATGAGTGGTGTAAGATGAGTGGTGTGTAAGATGAGTGGTGTGTAAGATGAGTGGTGTGAGATGAGTGGTGTGTGATGAGCGTGTGCTTGCGTATTCGTTTAGAGTTTGTTGAGTGTGTTTTCTTCTGATGTTTTGTTTATGCGGCAGTTAAGTCCTAGGTGACCAGCAGTCGGAGCTCGGGGGGGAAGAACGGTTGGTGCGCGGCTGCGGCTGCGGCGGCAGGGGGACCGTCGCGGCAGCAGGAATGATTGCGAGGCTACAAAAAGACAGAAAGAAGAAGAAAGAAGAGGAAGAGGCGATGGGAAGGGGGAAGGAGAAAAAGTAGAAAAGCACTGTGAGAAAAGAGGAGGAGGAGGGGAGCAGGGGGGAGCGGACGCCGGATCGGGAGGTATCAGATCTCCCTGCCGATGCCGGGGTCGGGCTGCCGGTGGGGCCCGTTCAGCGGGTGGTGCCGGTGGTGCGTGGCCGGCTCAGACGCTCGATTCATTTCTGGTTTGGTTCCGGTGCTAGAAGGGTGCTTGAAGTGTGCTGTGTGGCTTTTTCCACACGTCCGGTGGAGTGACGGCGGGGCTGGCGTCGGGTTGGGCTGCCGGTTTCGACGTGACCAGAGATGTGGAGAGCCTGCATTCTTTTTGCGGGTTGGGAAACTTCCAGGGTTGTCGTCTTGTAGCAGCGGGGGCGCCCGCGTTCCGGAGGGGCGCATCTTCCGGCCCGTGGGTGTCTTGAGCTCCTGTGACAATCTTGCCGGTTTGGACTGCTCCCTGGCTCGTCAGCTCCCTGTGTTGCTTCGCACGAGGTGCCCCCCCCTCGTGGGGGTCTCTTCCAGGGCTTGTCCCGTGGCTCCACAGGCGCTGGGTCAGAATTCCGACTCAAACTCAAACTATGGGATCTTTGAGGTGTTCATGAAGCAACCTTCCAGCACACTCACAGGGGAATTGAAGGCACCTCCGCTGGATGCAGCACCTTGCAACAAGATACCACAAGCATGTTCAGCTGCGTGATCTGTTCAAGTGCGCTGCCATGAAAGCTGACACCTTCGCACTTCTCCAACTCACCGGAAGCTTCTTTGGTCTTTCCGGACCAGATGCCACGCAGCTGAGCCCGGAGCAGCGGCATCAGCAAGCGTGGAAACCCAGCATTCCTGTAGTCTGTGTGGGCACCCTCCTAAGAGCAGTTATGATGAAGTTTTTCCGCTATTTACTGTGGATTGAGGTAAGACCCCTTCCTCATAGCAGGATTTCTGAATGTCCCCTCAAGGTCCGCTTCATCACCCCATCACCCAAAAAGGGTGGTAAGTTGAAAAAGGACAAGAAGCTCAAGAAGTGAAAAAGAATGAACCGTGTGCTTTCATGTGCGGTTTGATCACGAAAGGCAGGTAGCAGCCGGTGGCTGAAGCCTTTTGAAGGACGTCGTTTTTCCAAAATCTCCACTTTTTGTTCCAGGATCTAGCCTGAAGTGGTTGATGAAAATTCCCAAGTAGAGATCACAAATTGATGGCATATCGGCATATCAAAGGTGTTTTGCAACTGCCATCAACATGTGATTCCCTCTACTACCTTTGAATCCCCTCCTTCCAGGTAGAGGCTAAGAAACCCAAAACATTAAAAATACAAAGATTTTTAAAATACAACCCTGAAATGCAACTTTTTTGTATGGTTCTACGTCCTAACTGGCCCTGGTTCCCAAATATCATAGTCAGATGAGGGCCACAATGCAAATAGCGCCCAACAAGCCAATTGAATTTTGAGTCAGAGTCATGTTGTCCTTTTTATGTGTTGTCAAGAAGCATTTGCGCGAATTTGCTGTCTTTTTGCGTTGTGGCAAAATAGAAACAAAGGCAGTCGGGCCACAAAATCAGCAAACACCCCCGTCGACACGTCAGCAAAACGAAAAAATTACAAAATTTGGTTTCGCAACCTGTTTCGGCAATGATGTTTGGTATTTTTTTGCGGGTCGTATTTTTTCAAAATTTTTGTCTATTTTTCGCGGGTCGTATTTTTTCGTATTTTTTGTATGTTTTTCGCGGGTCGTATTTTTATACTTCTTTTGTATTTTGTATTGTTTTTGTACTTTTGTATTTTCATACAAAAAAAGGTCATATTTTCCCGAAAAATGCAAATTTTCAGCCTCGAACTGCGAACCGGCAAAACCCACCGGCACTTTTTTTTGACAACCAACGAAACGTTGCCAGGCTACCCGACAACCACGAGAGGCTGCTCCAGAGACAAGGGGGCCAGCTTCCCATCCCACCCATATCAATGCATATCAAGTGGCAATTTACGTGAACATTGCTTTCATTTTTGCATTTTTGTTAGGGTCGTTTTTTGAAAAATACAAAAGTCAAAAGTGTATTGTTAAACATACAGCTGGTGAATTTGTATTTTCCAGTCGTTTTTTTTGTCTTCTTTTTATATGTTTAATTCTTTTATGGCTTATAGGCTGTACCTGGATCCGGGGAACCAATACTACCTTCCACACTTCTGTTCTGCACCCTGCCAGGCAGGGCGCCGCAACGAGCAGAGTTAATCGTTTGCCGAGGAGCTGGACGCGGACACCCTGCAAATATGGTCACGCAGCAAAGATGCTCTCCGAGATGGGTCAAACAGATTGGCAGTGGGTCAAAACCGGGGTGACCTCCGGGTTGACCATTGAAAATGATCGGAAAAGACTAACAGAAAACGAAAAGACTACCAGAGTGATGAGTGGCGTGTGATGAGTGGTGTGTGATGAGTGGTGTGTGATCAGTGGTATGTGATGAGTGGTGTGTATGATGAGTGGTGTAAGATGAGTGGTGTGTGCTGAGTGGTATGTAAGATGAGTGGTGTGTGATGAGTTGTGTAAGCTGAGTGGTGTGTGATGAGCGCTGTGCGATGAGTGGTGTGTGATGAGTGGTGTAAGATGAGTGGTGTGGGATGAGTGGTCCGGGAGGCTCTGTGTACTGCGCGTGCCGCCTGCCGCGAAATCTGCACTCCAGGTTCACCAAGTGCTGCGCCTGCCACGAAATACACATGACAGGCAGCCGCGGGCGGCGACCACGCGCGCCGCAGCTGGTCCGGGAGGCTTTGTATACTGCGCCTGCCACGAAATCTGCACTCCAGGTTCACCAAGTGCTGCGCCTGCCACGAAATCTACACAACAGGCAGTCGCGGGCCAGCGGCGACCACACGCGCCGCGGTGGTCCGGGAGGCTCTGTGTACTGCGCCTGCCACAAACATGAGGGGTGAACAATGAGTGGTGTAAGATGAGTGGTGAACAATGAGTTGCGCAAGATAAGTGGTTAAAGATAGGTGGTGTGAGATGAGTGGTGTGTGATGAGGCTCTGTGTACTGCGCGTGCCACGTAATGGTGTGAGGTGAGTGGTGTAAGATGGGTAGTGTAAGTGAGTGGTGTCAGATGAGCGGTATAAGATGAGCGGTGAACAATGAGTGGTGTCAGATGAGTGGTATAAGATGAGCGGTGGTGTCACATGAGTGGTGTCAGATGAGCGGTGAACAATGAGTGGTGTCAGATGAGTGGTATAAGATGAGCGGTGAACAATGAGTGGTGTAAGATGAGTGGTGTAAGATAAGTGGTGTGAGATGAGTGGAAAGTGAAAAAGAACGACGCGACTGACCACGAGAAACATGCAAAATGCGCCGCTGAAACCTGTCTCCCAATAAAAGGTCGCCGGCTTCAGCCACTGGTGGAGGCGGTTTGGGGGACAGCTGCGGGGCCGAGGGTTGCGGGGTCATAGATTTGCCCCTGGTTGAAAGACTTGGATGGGTATGTTCTTTGGCCTCCTCAGCTTCACAACAGCGGGAAACAACATCAGCTCAAGAGCTGTAAACGAGCAAATCCGAAGAAATCAGATGGTCCGATGGTCCAAACCCGGTGAGCAAACGCTCGCCGTACACGAGTGGGGAGGACCTCCAACCACGGTGGGCAAGTCATCACCCTGCGGGGGGGCGGAGTTTGGGGGAGGTTGGAGCCCTTCTGACACGATCCCTTGCCAAGCCTTGTTGACCTTTGTCCAAACATGAAGACATACCTTGGTGCTGCGGTGTGTTGAACTGGATGGTACATCAATCTCGCAGGCTCTTGTTCTCCCAGGCTCTTGTGACTCCTAAGGGTTACTGTACCGACGATGGTGGTAAGTCACTTTCCTATCATGATGTGTTCTTTACATCTACCATTAATCAAAAAAGAAAGGACGCAATGACTTGGAAGGATTACTTATTTTATAATTTTGTTACCTTTCATCTCCTTTCATCATTGGTTTCTGTTTAAACCACTTACTACCGACCCTCCCTTCCTCCAATTCCTGTTGTTCCAACCGGTCCGGCGCCGGTTTTCGCGCCAGGTCGAGCCACCGCAGAACGGCTCACATCCTCCAGAGACGTGCCTCGGTGGCTGGAGAAGCCCGTTTTGTCCCGAGTAGCGTCCCTTGTTACTAGTGTTTCTAGCTACTAGTAACGATGCTACTAGTAGCGATGCCCTTGTTACAAATAGTTTCTTGTTACTAGTACTATGGCCAGGAGCTACTAGTAGCGTGTTTGTTTTGTGTTCGTTTTCGATGTATTGAAGGAAAACACTCAAATCAACCAAACATAGACACGCAAGAATGGTGTTGGCCTTTTTTAGTTGGGGACTAGTGTTGGTGGATGAAACCTGTTGCCGTATTGGTCTTCTTTTGCGCCCCAAGGGGAGCCGAAGTCAAGCTCTTTCCCCATGTCTTGGAAAGCAGTTTTTCCATGTTTTTCCTGCTTTTGCCCCACAATCCACACCAGCATGGTTGGAGCAACAATGTCATGACGTTTCGGTGTTTGCCAAGGCTCTTGGTTCTGAACGGCTTGCTCTTCTCCGACCAGGCGGCAAGCAGAACTTGGCAGAAATCCAGCGAGTAGCAGATGTGGTCACTTTCTCATCAAGATGGGATCGCATCAGACCATGTCTGGCACATCCCAGCACTAGCGTGCATCTATGAAGTAAGCTGTAGTAGCAGGGCCTTTATTCATTCAGGGTTCCAAACATCAGTCCGGTGGCACCGTTGTCGCCGGCAAACGCTGAACGGGGCTCCTTCTTGGAATTCTCCCAAAAGACGCGTTCAGCCATCCAGCCGAAGTCCCAAAGCATCGCTACGAACGTCACAAAGGGCATCGCGACGAACGGAGCGTTCAGACGCTACAATTCGGGGCTCCTGGCCTTACTACTAAGAACAAGGACGCTACTAGTAACAAAGGGCATCACTAGTAGCCGAAGCTGTAGTGTGAGCATTCTTGAATGCATTGTGTTCAGCGATCGCCTCGTGGCATGCGTGCACCCCTGTGGCTCTCTCCTGGATGTTCATACCACAGAAAACGAAAACGTGACCTATGTGAGTGGGTGTAAGTCTGTGACAGGACCTGATACGAAGAAGAGAGAGGTCAAAAGATTCTTTGACCCCCTGTTAAAAATGCCTTTGGTTTGGCTCTCTGGTCAACCAGCACGCTTCATGACTCACAGTGTTTGACTACAGAAGCCATTGGTATCCCCACCCAGCATCAGTCCAAGAAAGACAAATGACAACTGTCTCCCTGAAACCACCTACTGACTGGTGCTCATAGGGAATGTGGATCCCAAATCTCTCAAACGGGGGCTCCTTCTTCCCTCCCCGTTGGCCGTTTGTCGCGGGACTCATCTCCGTTCTTCCAATGGGACCACGCGGCCGAGCGCGACAGGCTGCAGAGGGTGGAGGCAGGTGGCCAAAAGGGGCGCGGTTGTAAAGCCTGATTCCAAAGCACAATGGCAAACCACCACCCTGGCAAACTCTTTCGATCAGTTTTGTCCTCAGGCAACTCGGTCAACCTCAAGACAAAGGCCCTAACTGAAGAGGCGAATGGTTTCATGGCACCCTCAGTCAGTCAGTCAGTCAGTCAGAGCCCAATGGCTGTAGGTCATACCCAGAGCTCCTGGGGCTCATAGCTGCTACCTTCCAAGTCCCTCGATGCGTACTTTATGGCATCACGGAAGGATCATGGTGACTGCTAGAAATCTAGTGTTCACAAGCTCTCAGGAGCGGTTGCTCACTACTCACAACATCAAAGGAAGAGGACGTGCTAGGACTGACAAGACCCATTATTCCTGTAGGTTCTTCTGAGGGCAAACCTCGATGAGAGGTATAGGCCATCTTGTCAGAGCAAGTTTGCGCCCTGGATAGGTCTACTTTTCTGCCCATAAGTAAAAAAGCAGAAGTAGAGTGACAAAATGAGTGCCCGGACAAACTTCCTTTTGTTCTTTCCAAGCCATGCCCTTCCCGCAGGCCTTACAGCCTACCTTTTGCAGACCGGCGTGCTCTGGCTGAGCTATGGAAGGAAAGGGGGATAGTGGGTTGGTCTATTGGGAACCCTCAAAACTCCTATGGGTAAGATTTAACAAGCCTAGAGATCCTAATTAGTTAGAGTGCCTTCAGCCTCCCACATCAAGATCCATTCTTGTTCTTCACAGGTGGAATTCCGTCGTTTTTCAGAACGGAGTCCCGAGCGATGTCCACCCGGAGCGGAGTTCGACCTGGTTTCGTGCACCACCAGCTTCGTTCACCGAGACGTAGAGACATGTACAGACACGCATCGCTAGTGGCCTTACTAGGAGCAAGGACGCTACTAGGAGCAAAGGGCATCGCTACTAGGAGCAAGAAGCTACTAGCAAGGACGCTACTAGGTTGGAGGCCATCACAAGGTAGCTTGCCTGCGCTGCACTTTTCGTCCAAGGTGAAGTTCCACTGGCCACGTCAGGCAAACGCGCACGGTCCGTCCGGTGGCAACTACACCGAAAGGATTCAGTGTGGGTGACGGGAGATAAAGCCAGGAACTATGAGGAACCCAAAACATGCATGCTGCACGCTTGTTACTAATAGCTTCCTTGTTCCTTTATATCATTGAGAGCGTTCTTTTTTGAGCTGTCCTTATTTTTCCGTTCTTGGTTGATCTATATGGTGTCTCTTCTCGAACATGTCACGAGATTGATCCACCCCTCTCGTCTAGAGCTGTAGAAGCTCCACGTGCCCTGCCGAAGCTCCACGACTCGGACGTCTCTTGAGACTCTGAGAGTCGTTCCACGTGACGTCGGGACAGCGGAGCTGAAACGGAGGGCGAAGTTCGGGTCAGATCCTTTCGCTTTTTTTGGAGACAACGTGAAAGGACGACCGGTCGGAAGCTACCAGACACGGAAGCGACCGGTCGGTGCCCCGAAATTCAGGTCTGAGACGTTCATGATTTGTTCCAAACAACCGGGGTATCCCTGGTGATTGTTGAACCCAGAAATTGTTCTCCCTGAACTTCGAGTTATGTTTGGAGCACAACAGTTTGGCGTGTGGGGTTTTCACTGATGTCACTGCAAGGGACGCTGTGGCCGGTTTCAATTGTTGTGTGTGATCTTGCCAAATAACATGGAGTCTTGTTCTTTACATGAACATGGATACTGTGGGATAGGAAGATCATTGAATGCTGGAAGATTGTTTCCCACCACTACTCTTTGGTGGAAGAGTTTTGTGTATATTACAAGATATGACATATTATATGGCTTTCCTTCTCTTCGAGGGTGCAAGAAACTCCCTCAGCAATAGAAGGATGTATGCGTTGCGCATTGGAGCTTTACAGCAGCCAAAACAAGTAGCGCAAGATGCGTCCAATCCAAGGGTGATCCTCGCCGGATCGCACAAGACCATCCGCCCAGCTTTAAGACGTTTATGGATTTTAGATGTTGTCGGGCTGAAGACGAACACCCATCCTATCCGATACTTCCCACCATGACATACTCCGACAGAGAAGTGGACCAGGTACTTCTCCAGGTGCTTTACCACCTGGTACTTTACTCACTCCTTCCTTTCTTCGCACCGATCGTGGTCCACGATCGACCATTGCGCGATGGCGTCTCGCAGGAAGGAGCCCTCAAGTGGGAAGCTCAAGTGGGAGAGGTTTTCCCTGTTTGGTTTTCAGGTGAAAATGAAAATCCTAACCTTCCCAACCTTTTCCCAAATGTCCTATTCTCATTATCAGGTTTTAGTAGTTGAGGCTTGTTGTAGTTGAAAGGATTGTATGAACAGATGCAAATAGTGTCAGATGTTCTTTCATATTATGCCATATTTTTTCCTCGTGTTGTTTTACTTTCCCAATCTTTGGGCCCCTGGACCAACCTTTCTAGCTCTGCAAAAACAGATACATGTGTGTTTGAAAAACTCCAGACAGAGGTGCTGAAAGCTGAAGCTGAAGGGGTTGCAGAGGTGTTTATATAACGTATACAAAAACTGGTTCCCTCCAAAAAAGGAACGTACCTGAATTGGCCAAGAACTACCCAAGTCCCAAACCGCCTGCATGGCGGCGGTTTGGATGTGATTGGAATGACGTAGATTGGAATGGAGCTACTAGTAGCTTCTTGTTACTAGTAGTAAGGCGAGGAGCCACTAGTAGCGTCCGATCGCTCCTAGTAGTGATGCCAGGAGCTACTAGTTCTCCCGAGTGCCGAACTCTTCTGAACCACCTTTTGAGGAACCTCACCAGCGGCGCCTTCTGCCGCCAGCTGACCTGACAAGCGGCGCGCGCAACGTCTCACCCCGGACAGCGGAGAGCGCGGCGTGAAGAAGCTGGTGCTGAAGCGGGGGGGGGGCAGAGGAGTGAAATTGGCGATTTGGTTCACTCCAGAATAACAAGGGCATTACTACTAGTAACAAGGGCATTGCTACTAGTAACAAGTAGCAAGGGCATTGCTACTAGTAACAAGGGCATTACTACTAGTAGCAAGGGCATCGCTACTAGTAGCAAGGGCATTGCTACTAGTAGCAAGGGCATTGCTACTAGTAACAAAGGCATTACTACTAGTAACAAGGGCATCGCTACTAGTAGCAAGGGCATTGCTACTAGTAACAAGGGCATTACTACTAGTAACAAGGGCATCGCTACTAGTAGCAAGGGCATTGCTACTAGTAAGAAGGGCATTGCTACTAGTAACAAGGGCATTGCTACTAGTAACAAGGGCATCGCTACTAGTAGCAAGGGCATTGCTACTAGTAACAAGGGCATTGGTGCTAGTAACAAGGGCATTGCTACTAGTAACAAGGGCATCAAGGGCATTGCTACTAGTAACAAGGGCATTGCTACTAGTAACAAGGGCATCGCCACTAGTAACAAACAAGGGCATCGCTACTAGTAACAAGGGCATGGCTACTAGTAACAGGGCATTGCTACTAGTGACAAGGGCATTGCTTCTAGTAACAAGGGCATCGCTACTAGTAACAAGGGCATCGCTACTAGTAACAAGGGCATCGCTACTAGTAAGAAGGGCATTGCTACTAGTAACAAGGGCATCGCTACTAGTAACAAGGGCATGGCTACTAGTAGCAAGGGCATCGCTACTAGTAACAAGGGCATGGCTACTAGTAACAAGGGCATCGCTACTAGTAGCAAGGGCATTGCTACTAGTAACAAGGGCATTAGTACTAGTAACAAGGGCATTGCTACTAGTAACAAGGGCATTGCTACTCGTATCAAGGGCATTAGTACTAGTAACAAGGGCATTGCTACTAGTAACAAGGGCATCGCTACTAGTAACAAGGGCATCGCTACTAGTAACAAGGGCATCACTACTAGTCACAAGGGCATGGCTACTAGTAACAAGGGCATCGCTACTAGTAACAAGGGCATGGCTACTAGTAACAAGGGCATCGCTACTAGTAGCAAGGGCATTGCTACTAGTAACAAGGGCATCGCTACTAGTAACAAGCGCATCGCTACTAGTAACAAGATCATTGCTACTAGTAAGAAGGGCATTGTTACTAGTAACAAGGGCATTGCTACTAGTAACAAGGGCATTGCTACTACTAACAAGGGCATTGCTACTAGTAACAAGGGCATTGCTACTAGTAACAAGGGCATTGCTTCTAGTAACAAGGGCATTGCTACTAGTAACAAGGGCATTGCTACTAGTAACAAGAGCATTGCTACTAGTAACAAGGGCATCGCTACTAGTAAGAAGGGCATCGCTACTAGTAACAAGGGCATCGCTACTAGTAACAAGGGCATCGCTACTAGTAACAAGGGCATGGCTACTAGTAACAAGGGCATCGCTACTAGTAGCAAGGGCATTGCTACTAGTAACAAGGGCATTGCTACTAGTGACAAGGGCATTGCTACTAGTAACAAGGGCATGGCTACTAGTAACAAGGGCATCGCTACTAGTAGCAAGGGCATTGCTACTAGTAACAAGGGCATTGCTACTAGTGACAAGGGCATTGCTACTAGTAACAAGGGCATCGCTACTAGTAACAAGGGCATCGCTACTAGTAACAAGGGCATCGCTACTAGTAAGAAGGGCGTCGCTACTAGTAACAAGGGCATTGCTACTAGTAACAAGGGCATTGCTACTAGTAACAAGATCATTGCTACTAGTAACAAGGGCATTGCTACTAGTAACAAGGGCATCGCTACTAGTAACAAGGGCATCGCTACTAGTAAGAAGGGCATTGCTACTAGTAACAGGGCGTTGCTACTAGTAGCTTGACAAGGGCATTGCTACTAGTAACAAGGGCGTTGCTACTAGTAGCTTGGCTAGAAACTAGTAGTAATTCCCTTGTTACTAGTAGCGATGCCCTTGTTTGTCTACTTCAGATTTGGTTCCCTCCAGTTCCACAAAACGAGAGCCCAAGAAGGTGCAACTTTGGGTACCACCTTCTGCAGATATATTCACACAAGAATACCCCAGCCGTGGTAGGGAGGAGGGAACTAAGACGTATTGCTGGAGATGGATGGGACTGCAGGGACTGCAGGAGCGGAGGGTTGGTCCTCCACTCGTGAGGTGAAAAGGCCATCAAGCAGAATGAACCCAAAGGACCAGAACCAGAACCAGAAAGCCAACGCGTTTGCCTTCTTGAAGGCCAACCACTAACCACAACCCCCGTTTCTTGTTTGTTTAAGTGTTTGAGTTTCGATTGCTTTCAACTGTGCTGGCACTCTAAGCGATAAAACTTTCTATTTGGTGCTTTGATCATTCTCCAAAGATCCATTTACAGTCTGGTAGTATTTTCCCGTGTTTCCTTGTGTTGGGGAAGCTTCATCTCCACTGGGACCAGAAGTTGGAACATGTTGGAGAGCAGAATTCAACTCACCACATAACAGAAAATAGAGCTACGTTCGTAGCTTCTCGTTCCTACTATAAGATGCCACACTGACAATGGCCTCGGCCAAAGGACCCAAAGGAACCGTTCATAGGACCTGACCAAACTCCCATGGTTTGAGTAAGCAAAAGAAAACACATATGAAGACCCTTGGGCAACCTGGTGTAAAGGAATCCACCTAAAGTTCAACAAGAGATCAGAAGTGTCCACTACAGCAAGAACCGATCTATAGGCTGTGTATTCTTCAGGACCTTTTTTCAGGAGGGGGGCCTTTGCAGGAAGAGGACCTTCCAAAATTTGCAGGCCGGCCACCATGTGCAGTAAAATAGGTCTCAACATAGTCCGTCACTTCCGAACTCGGCTCTCCAAGTGGTGGGACAACCGGTCTCTGCTGGCCTTTCAATTCAGAAAAACCGTGGGCACCGTTGCGCCGTCTCAAGCAGGCTGAGCCAAACCAAAAAAATGACGAACTCCAAGGAAGGACTTCAAAAGTCTGCAAAAACCAGCTGATCCTGGAGCAAAAGGTAGTTTCATCCGGTGATCCAAGAGCAGTCAATCGCGTTCTTCAAGAACAGCTCTGTGGTTTTGATCAAAGCAGAATGACGGGATCACGCTACTTGCGTGTCGTGTTTTTGCCATATACAGCCGTGTGGTGCTGCAATGCTACCGGCCGGGGCACTCGGCAAAATCGTCGAGAAAATGTGTTTGTGGATCTGACATCGAATGCCTTGGTTGTTGCAATGGAAACAATGCCACAACTGGTCTTTGGGAGGTCTCCCTGTTTTGATACACGCATTTCACTGTGAAAACCTGTGAAGAATCAGATGGATCTCATCTTCGGACGAGAAAACGAGCGTCTACGCCGCCCCTCCCAAACGCTGCAGTCCGACCAAGACACTGCTGGGCGTGGGTTGAGATTGCAAGGTTTTGTTTCATCATGTATATTTTTGGGGGGGCTGGCAGGCGCTAGTAGAGGAAGGCTAGCTAGTGGGTTGAGATTATAGTATAGTATACGCTTCTTCCTTTTCTTTCTTTGTTTCTAATAGCGATGGCCTCCGACCTAAAAGCAGCTATAGTATACTAGTTACATGGTTTTCCTCCATACCATGGCCATACCCGTCACCCCAGACCTTCAGCTTTGGTGCCCTAAGGCCTGGTGTTCCGATGCCCGTTTGGCACTTTGGATTTGCCTGGGCCTTTGGCTCCTCCGCTTCGGGAGGCAGGGTCCTTAAGAGAATCGGGGCTATAGTAACAAGGTTCGCTACGAACGGGGCTCCTGGCCCTGCTACTAGGAACAAGAACGCTACGAACGTAACAAGGGTCCTTAAGTCCTTGAGACACAATTCATCCCACGTCCAAGAGAGCGGAGAAGAGTGTGCCAGTCACCCTTCAATGTGAGTGCTTGGAACACGGAGGTGCGGGCAGTGCAACTGTGACCCAGCTGAGACTGCTTTTGGTCGACAACCCCCCTCAATGCCTGGTGCCATTTGGCCTCCAAGCGAGACGAAGTAGCTGCGAACGAAGAAGATGGAGCCTCGCTTCGCCCAAGAAGCATCGAGCCCAAGGCTTTCTTCAGTTCCAACAGGAATGGCGGCGGCTAGTAGTTCAGTTTGTGCTGGTCTTCAGGATCCGACACGGGCTTGCTGTTGGCGGGTTTACGCGGAAATGTCGCAAGGATGGAGTATCGTCGTTGTGAGGCTTACCACCTGCAAAGCAACGCGAACGCAAGACAAGGGACAACTCCAGGAGCCGGTTTGCAGGTGTAGATGGTTGGATGCGCCGAAGCCACGGATGTGCCGAAGCCACAACAGGTTGCAAAAAAGAATTGACATGTTGGCAGTTGCATCAGCGACATTTGACCAAGTGTCGATGCATGAATGTTGCAGCAACTGGAGGCCTCAAAGAGAACACTGGGTAGATCTTTGGGTCATTCCAACCAAATCAACCATCAAAGCATATCAAAGCACACTCTCAATACTGTAATCGGACTGCATTGAACCCGCCAATACCGGCAACACCGATCGACGTTGTTTTCGGCTAGATTCACAGGCGTGGCTACTGGTCAAAAAGATGTGTGATGCTTTGTTGTTTTTACTTGTTTTCTCATGCAACAACACATCAAAAATCTTATCATCCTGGATCCTTTTTCCCTCGTGTCACCTGTCACCCATGTTTGCGACAGATTCGCTTGCCAGGTTGCAGGTGCCGCTGTTTCTGGTCATCTTCCACACGCTCATTTGCACCTGGGCGGAGATTGATGCAGTCCTTTGTGACAGATGTGCTTCCAGGCTTCCACATGAGCCATATGGTCAGGGGTCTCACCAGGGCCTGGGTGGCGTTGATTTGATGAACCCAAGAGCGACGGCCTCCGCTTCTGACCAGAAAAAGAACGACCCCACCTGGCTTCAGCACTCGAAGCAGATGGTAAAGCTTTTTTGCGGGGGACGATGCCATCTACTTCCATCCTTGATGCTTGGAACTCTGGCATATTCAGAACTCTGGCACTACACAAACGACGAGCGTCTTTTGGCCATTGGCCAGTCAGGTCTAGCGTCTTTGATTTGCAGTGCCGGGACCTGAGTGGAGCGTGGCCTCACTTCGTCGTTGGGTAGCTTGTCGTAGCTTGTCGTTGGGGAGATGTGTTTCAACGCTGGAGGAAGGAAGCGTCAAAGTTCTTTTGGTTGGGATGAGTTGCCTGAAGTTCACTAACATAGCAGTTATGTGGAAGAGTTCCTTCTGTTCCAAATCATGTTGTCGGATATTTGGGGGCATCGAAGCCCGCGCTTGGAATCCATGGACCAGAACAATCAACCAATGGTACTGGATGGGTTTCCACTAGGAAGGCACCAAAACAAACAAGCTTCAAGTTGTATGATTCAACACTGGCTCACTTCTCGCAACTCGTGGGCGACTCATACACAAAGCCAAGCCGAGACCGGCGATGCGCCATCGCCATCGGTTGGTGCGGCAAACGGGATGATCGGACCTTCGCATCGGGTGGATTGGAGGCTTGACCTCCAAATCTGAGAGCACAGGGCATTTGTTTAATAGTTTTTGTTTTAAAAAATGTGTGTTGTCATATTTAAAAACATCTTTTAAAAAGATTCAAGAAAAGCTGTGTTCCACTCGTTGAAGTGTTGTTTTTCAAGTACTGTCCTCTAGTCTGCCCTTTTTATTGCCTCGTTTCACCCTTGTCTTGTGACCTCCATCCACATCATCCACATGCTGGTGGGGTGGCCAGCACCAGTCGGCAAACTGCTCTTGTTTTGGAAAATGAAAGATCCTCTCAGCAACTTCTTGTAGCCATGATTGCAAGCGTGGGCTACAATAGTCTTCTCCGAATCACTCTCGCCCCTTGGGGCCAAAATCTGGCACCACTCAAAAGTACAAGGGCATAGTAGCGATGCCCTTGTTGTATTAGCTTCTTGTTACTACTAGCGATGGCCTCCAACCTAGTAGCTTCTAGCTACCATCGCTCCCCGGTCGACGTGCCCCATCGTCACCGGTTCAGGTCACCTTCTACGTCCACACCACACGAACCGTTCGGGCCAGCCCAGTCCTTCCGGGAACGATCCGGTCGACCGTTGGGTCAGAGATCACCACCTCACATGCCGCTGGTGGTTTCAGCATGTCGCACGTCACTTTGCAGCCCAGAGGAGCTTTGCAACACATGCAGGTCCTGGCAACATCAAACATCATGTAGATCCACTGGTCTGAATTGGCAGGTCCATTGGAGGCTATGAGAAACCAGCTACGTCCGCTCCATTCGTATCCATTCGTTCTCCTTTCTGCCCGTTGCACAGGTCTTCAATCGACGAGCACCCTTGGCGTTCATGCCCTGGTGGCGGCATTTCATGATGACTCGGCCACTGGAGGCCGTAATGTCCTACGCGCCATTGGTTTTGCCCAAGTGCGATTCGAAGGAAAGGATTGTAGGATGTTCACTTGAGCGCTGGAGCATGACTTTCTAGAGTAGTATGTGTATCTTGGATACAAGTGCACCATGCACCAGACCTGGGACTTCAAGCTTTGGTGTGGGTGGGTTGAAACCTTCTGCTTGTTGGGTAGTTGCCTTGCCTTGTCAGTGACAGCTGCAGTAATTGTGGGCGAAAGATCTGCGTGCCCGTTCCCCACATGGCAAGCTCTCTTGACCTCGAAAACTAGGCCTATCAGAATAGCCTTGCTAAGCTAGCCTCCATTCAGATCTCCCAAGAACGGCGAGCCGCCAGAAGACTGAAGTAGATCGTGTCCGACTGGCGTGAGAGAAGAGTGCCTCACTGGTAGTAATTACAATTCTAATTAAATTCTTATTGTTACTACTAGCGAGGCACTTGTTTCTAATAGCTTCTTGTTACTACTAGCTGCTGCCAGGTTTGAGAGATTGCTGGATCTCAGGTTCTTGGATTCAAAACATGTGCATGTTTGAATCCTCAGGAGCTACGAGTAGCGTCCTTGCTCGTAGTAGCGATGCCCTTGTTACTAGTAGCGTCCTTGCTCCTAGTAGCTTCTGCGCTCGATTTGGCACCCCAAATCGATGCCAGACTGTCCGCTGTCCACATCGAGTGTTCTTTGAAAACCCTTGAGCACTGCGCCTTTGCCGCGCGAGGTGCTTTGGCGCTTTCTGACTGTGCCCCTGCGAGTCCGGTCGCCTGGGGATCGGTTCACATCCGTTTTGTTTGGTAAGAATACATTAGAATTAAATTCTAAATTCTTAGCTTCTTGTTTCTACTAGCTTCTTGTTACTACTAGTAAGGCACTTGTTACTACTAGCAATGCACTTGTTACTACTAACGAGCTTCGCTACTAGGAACAAAGGGCATCGCTACTAGGAGCAAGAAGCTACTAGTAGCACCTGGCATTACTACTATAGTAACAAGGGCATTCGACCAGTGCAACAGTTCCCAGGTCTCGGTGCAAACAGCGGATTGTGCAATCCGACCACACAGACTGCCCAGGTTCAACCAGACTTGCTGATCCTGGGCGAGGCACGAGTTCGCAATGGGACGAGTGAATGAAAGTATCGGCAAAGCGATCTGAAGCTACGAGCGGAGTAAACGGCATCGCTACTAGGAGCGATCGGACGCTACCAACGGGGCTCCTGGCCTTGCTACGAACGGAGCAATGTTTTGTTAGTAGGAACATGAAGCTTCGCTAATAGGAGCAAGAAGCTACTAGGGGCTCCTGGCCATACTACTAGGAACAAGAAGCTATTAGGGGTTCCTGGCCTCACTACTAGGAACAAGAAGCTACTAGGGGCTCCTGGCC